AGTCTACATGCATGTCTGTGTATGGCCGTTTAGTCTACATGTATGTCTGTGCACCATGTGCACATCCAGTGCCCAGAGAGGCCAGGTCTCCTGGAGCTGGAGTTACAGATGGTTGTGAGCTGCTGAATGGAGCCCAGGTCCTCTGCAAGAGCACCCAGTGCTCTTAACCACTGAGATCTCTCCAGCCCCCCCTTCTTTCTTTTCTTCTCTTCTCTCTCTCTTTTTCTCTCTCCCTCAGATAGGATCTCAGGCTGGTCTCCAACTCACCACGATCACTAGGTGGTTGATAACCTTGAAATTCTGACCCTCCTGCCTCCAGCTCCCAAGTTCAGGGACTACAGGTCTGCACCACATTGCCTGGATTATGCAATGCTGAGGATGGAACACAGAACTTTGTACACGCTAGGCAAGCGTTCTACCAACGGTGCCACATCCCAGTCTACTGCTGGCTTTTGAAGGGATTCATCTGAAAACATAATTCCTCCCCCCAAGAAAACAAGCAGAACCCAGATTCCTGGCAAAAACAAAGTAAAGTTTATTTAAGAAGCTCAAGTAGCGGTGAGATAGGGGTAGGAGAGAAGAGAGGCTCTGGGGTGAAGCCCCTCCTCTCACCCACCTAGTGCAACGATTATGAGCAGCTGGCTGGGATGAGTCAGGAAGGTGGCATCTGAACCCCACAGCGCATGTTTGCTGGAACAGCAAAGTCTGAAAAGAAACCTCAAATGATTCTGAAGACACAGGAATGACTCATGTCTCACAGAGACCCAGAAGTGCTCAGGGCTCTTTTGAGGGACTACAGTTCTAATCCTCAGTCCTTCCCTTCAGACCCCAGCCTCCTCCCTCAGACCCAGGGGTCCAGGCCCAGCCCTCCTCTCAGTTCATGGAGTTCAGGATCCTACCCACTCAGATCCTCCGGATTCACACCCCCAATCACTTTCCTCAGACCCTGGGTAAACTCACCTATCTGCTGCGGCTTGGGCAAGTTCAGGTTGTCCATGACCTTAATAAACTCCTCACAGGTGAGGGTGAGCCGTGGGTTCAGAGTCCGTTCCTCCTCCACAGTAGAAACTGTGAGCCCTGTCGGCCATAGGGGAGGGGAAGAAAAGTAACCAGGGTCCAATACCTTGGGCGACTCAGAACTACATTTCCCAGGAGGCCACCCAAGCCTGAGACGAACTGGCCCTTTCCTGAATGGTTTTACGACACTGTCCCGCCTCTCTTCAGGCACTATGGGAAATGTAGTTCCTACAGTTCCCCGCACTCTAGGAGGACGTCCCAGGAAAACGTATGCCCTGCAGATGTATCTTATTGTTTTACATCCACACATCACGCCCACGCACATAATCTTCTGAGCCACGGGAATTTCTGGGTTCTGTAGCCTCCGTGCCACATGAGGACAACAGGCAGAGGGAATTCCCCTGCGTTAAGCGACAGAGGCCTGTCATGGCCTCTGGCAAGCCCTCACCGTGGTAATCGTGAGCCGGGTAGATGAGACAGTTGCCTGGAAGCGTGAAGATCTTTTCATGCACAGAGTGGTACAAAGTCCTAGCACAACCTGAGGAAAGAAAACTCGGAAGTCAGAGAGTCAGAGGGACAAGAGGAGCCCCCGACCCCCTTCTTTCGGAGAAGAACAGGGAAGATGGAGGAATTAAGGCTAAACCCTCTCCCTCATCTCCAGAAAGCCCGTGTTTCAGAGACACAGAGAAGGAAGGGCATTCTAGGGGGTGGTACACCATATATGAAGAACCGATGACCGGTGAGAAATTCATAGGGATGATTTGTGATTCGGTAAGTACCAGGGGTTGTGACGCCATCCCCGGGGAGGTGAAGGAAGAGCTCTGGGCCAGCAAGGTGGACATGGGGACAAGGGGAAGAGTGACTCTAGGATTTAGATACAGAGTGCTGAGTCCTGGGCTGGAGGGAGGCTTCGGGAGTTCAAATCCCCAGAACCCAAAGCAGGGTGTGGGCCATGCTCCTGTAACCCCAGCTCTGTAGGCAGCAGAGGCAGGGGGACCAGCCCAGGTCCTCAAGGAAACAAGGTGAAGCATACAGACAGGGCATCTGACATCTGCCCTGGCCTATGAGCACACCCCCAGCCACACACAAGTGCACATATACCACACACAGATATACAAAAAATTTCTGAGTCCTCAGTGACTAGGTAAAAGGGAGGTTAGGAGTCACAAGCCAATCTAACTGCCGCCTAAAGCTAAACCCCAAAAGTTACACTGCCCCCTAATGATTAGACAATACACAGTAACAACACTGGTGTGTGTTTGGGTATGTGTGTGAGCACGCATGTTCTCTGTTACCCAAAATGACCTTAGACTTTCTTTTTTTTTTTTTTTAATTTTATGTGCATTAGTATTTTGCCATGGGTTTCCAGTCTCCTTGGAACTGGAGTTACAAACAGTTGTGAGCTAGCTGCCTCATGGGTGCTGGGAATTGAACCCGGGTCCTCTGGAAGAGCACTCAGTGCTCTTAACCAATGGGCCATCTCTCCAGCCCCAACCTTATACTCTCGATCCCTCGATCCTTCTGCCTCCACCTCCTGAGTGCTAGGATTTAGAGTACAGCTCAGCTGTTCCCAGCTGATGAAGTATGAGTATTGCATCTACCCACTGAGCTACACAGCCCCAGAGGCACATTCATGCATTTATTCTTGTGGCTGCATTTTTTTTTTTTTTTTTGAGACAGGGTCTCTCTACAGAGCCCTGACTGTCCTGGAACCAGGACCAGTTGGCCTCAAACATTCAAAGATCCTATTCTTAACCTTCTCACACACGCACACACACTGAGCTGGAGAAAGGAGTTGGTCACCTTGTTGGAAGTCTGTTCGTCCACACCCTCGGATCAGTAGGGCATCTCCAGTGAAGGCCATGCTCTGGTCATCCAAGACAAAGGTAACACAGCCTGGGGTGTGGCCAGGGCTGGCCCGAGTCTCCAAGGCCTGGCAGGGATGCAATGCAGAGAGACAGTCACCAGCAAGCTTCACCGGTCCCCCCTAAAGCCCAATCCACCTGAGGGAAACAGCCGAACAAAGGACTACAGCAACCATTTGGTTTAAAGTTAATCTGAAGACTGGGCGTGGTAGCAAACACGTTAAACAGCTGTCCTCGGGAGGTGGGGGCAGGAAGAACTGATGTGGTTCACAGGTTCACAGCCAGCCTGAGCCATGACAGGACCCTGTCTTGGGGGAGAGATCAGTTTGAATCAGTCTTTCTTTCTTTCTTTCTTTCTTTCTTTCTTTCTTTCTTTCTTTCTTTCTTTCCTTCCTACCTACCTTCCTTCCTCCCTTCCTTTCCTTTCTTCCTTCCCTCTCTTTGACAGGATGTATCCAGGGTGGAATCAAGCTTGCTATGAGATCAATGATGACCTTATCTTCCAGACTTCCTGCCTTCATCTCCCAGCTCTGAGCTTGCGGGTATGCTCCACCAGGCTTTAGTATATACAGTGCTGGATGGAATCCAGGGCTTTGTAGGTTTTTTGTTTTGTTTGCCAAGTGTTTTGGCAGCTGAATGAGACCCATCATCAACCCAGACTGAAGCTCTGAAGAACAAAAATACCCCAGATGGGTTCCCAAGATAGTCAGAGGCATGCATTTGTAACAGGCTTATACCACAGGGGTCATGCACCAAAAAAAGAGAATTATTATTATGCATCTCAATAAGAAAATAGAAAAATAAACACCAGGCTGGGGGATATAGCTCAGCAGGCTGTGCACACACAGGCTGTGGGTTGGGCCTGCAGCACTACCAGAAAAACAAAGACTAAATTAGCATTGAGAGGCTTGCTGATGGACAGGGGAGAAGACTGTGGGTAAAGGTGCTGCCAAGCCTGAGGACCTGAGTTCTAAGCCCGGGATCACATGATGGTAGGAGAGACCTGGCTCCCTCAAATTATCCTCTGACCTCTATATTTATGCCATGGTACATGCACGCATATGCAAAATGAACATGATAAAAACTGAGTGCTGTTGTTGGAAAGAAACTTGGTGGTATTTCAAAAAAGCTTGATATAGTTACAAATAAAGTTTACTATCCAATGGGTGCAAAAGACGGGTTATAAAGCAACTTCCACAGTGAGATCCTGTGCTGGGTAGCAGATGCCTATAATCCTACTACTAGGGAAACTGAGGCAGAAGGAGCGCAAGTTTGAAACTAGTCTAAGCTGCAAAGTTCCAGGCTCCCTGAGCTCAGAGGGAGACCCTGCCTGAAAGGAAAAAGCGGTGCTCTTGGTAAAACAAAAAGTTACCAGCTGAACGTGTACTATATCTGTTGCTTTTGTTGGTGGTGTTTTCAGACAAGATCTTCCTAGGTAGCCCAGGCTGGCTTTGAATTCATGGGTCTTCCTGCCGTGGCCTCCCAAGTGTGGGAATTACAGGCATGTGCCACCCTCTTCTCTTCTGTTGGCTGATAGTTTCTAAGGGTCTCAGGCCATCACAGCAGAGGCGTGGTGGCTTGGGCATGTAGCAGGGACTCCTACTACAATGGACCATTAGGCCCTGATTCTTTCTCTTCCTGGCTCCCTGATGCAGACTCCCTGTCTTGATGGCCTGCCCCAGCCTGGGTTCACAGCCAGCTCTTTGCAGACTGGACCTTGCAAATGCTGAGCAAAGGTCCTTTCTTATTTTTAAAAACATTTAAAATTGTACTTTATTCACTGTGTGTGAGTGTGCACAATGTGTTCTTGTATGTGAGCACGGCTCTGTGTGTGTGCATATATGCCATGGCTTGTGACTGTTGGACAGATGACAATTGGCTGGCACTGGTTCTTGAACTCCACCCTGTGGGTCCCAGAGTAAACTCTTGTCATCAGAGTGGGCAGCAAGCACCCCCTACCCGCGGAGCCACCTCACTGGCCCACATCTATGTTTACATTGGGAGCTGGAGAAATGGAATCACACCACTCTTGCTTGGGACCAGAGTTCTATTGCGAGCACCCAAGTCAACCACCTGTAACACTACGATACAACCACATTGACACCCCAGTTCCAGGAGGACTAACACCCTCTTCTGGTCTCTAAGGGTACCTGACATGAGTACTTCCTAATATGTGAGCACGTGAGCACACGCGCGCGCGCACACACAAACACTCATACACATATATACACAATTAAAAATAAGTATTTTCATGATATTTGTCATAGACGTTTTGACACAGTGACAGAAAATTAACAGCCAAAGACTACAACATGGAAGAGTACACGGTAAGAATTCAACATGGGAGCACACGGTAAGAATTCAACATGGGAGCACACGGTAAGAATTCAACATGGGAGCACACGGTAAGAATTCAACATGGGAGTACACGGTAAGAACTTAACATGGAAGTACACTGTAATAAAACTTGGAAGAACAAGTCCAGCATGGTGGCTCAGGCCTACAAACCCAGCACTTAGGAGCCAGGGTTCAAGATCGCCCTCTACTGTACGGTGGATTAGGGGCCAGCCTGGGCTACATGAACTTTGTCTCAAAACAAGACAAATAACTTCTGAGAATGAAATATCTACAAATGAGAGCAGCGAGCTGGCTCCCTGAATAAAGGGGCTTGCGGCCATGCCTGACGACCGGAGTTTGATCCCTGGGATCCACCAGGTGGAAAGAAAGCTAACTCCTACACCTTGTCCTCTGACCTCCACATAGGAACTGTAGCATGTGCATGCCGCCCCCACTCCATCTAGACAGCCTGCAGGTGAGCTGCAGGGCTGCGGGTGTCCAGTTAATAACACCCACGTGAGTGGCTGTGTCAAAATTAGGCTAGTCTCATAAAAGGCATTTGGATGCTTTTCTTCTTTTTCTCCAGGCACTGGAATGCTTAGAATAGTTCTGGCACGATTGTTTTCCATAAGTATGGAGTGATTCTCTCATGTGATTTACAAGAGCTATTTTCTACACATTCATTTTTCACAACTATTTGTAGGCGGGGAAATGGTGCTGAGAACTGAATGCAGAGCCCTGACTTTGCCAGGCAGGGGCTCTACCACTCACTGAGCAACACCCCAGCCCCTCACTGGGGTATTCTAGGTAGGGGCTCTACCACTGAGCCACACCCCAGGCCCTCACTAAGAGATTCTAGGCAAGGGCTCTACCACTGAGCCACATCCCAGGCCCTCAATGGGGGAGTCTAGGATGAGGTTCTACCACTAGTCACACCCCAGGCTCTCACTGGGGGACTCTAGGCAGGGGCTTTACCACTGAGCCACACCCCAGCCCCTCACTGGGGGATTCTAGGCAGGGGCTCTACCACTGAACTATATCCTCAGCCCTCTTAACTTATTTGTTCAGTTGTCTTTTTACAGAGTCTCATGCAACCAGGAAGCCTCAAAATTACTGAGTAGGCCAGAGAGGCCTTGAATTTGCAACCCTTCTGCCTCAGCATGCAGAACAGCTGGGATTACAGATCTCCCACGTCTTTTAAGATGTTCCCATGGCCACCGTGACAACCAAATGACAATAATTCCTATTGCTTACCAAGGTTTCCTGGGACCCCGTTCAAATGAACCCTTCCTCCACCCTGTCCCAGCCGAGCCCTGGCCTGCTTCCTGTGTCTCTTGATGACTCTGTAACTCAGCTGTTCTAGAGTTTTATGTAAATAGATCAAAATAGTTACAAACAAAACAAAATTGTTGGAAGCCAATGGCCTAGTTCCAAATCTCAATTCTATCAGCTCTTAGGGCCTATCTGATTATTTGCAAAATATACATAAATGTCGTTCCCAGCCTCTTGAAATGCTACAAAGATTAAACTGCTTCATGGATAAACAACTGGTGCTCTACAGTAAAAACAAGAAAAAGGGGCTGGAGAGATGGCTCAGCAGTTCAGAGCAAGTCCTGTCTTCCCGGAGGACCCCGGTTCACTTCCCAGCACCCACAATGCGGCTGACACCCACCTGTAACTCCAGACATACACACGATGCATATACATATGTATAGGCAAACAGTCTCAGAATTTTTGTTGCTGTTGTTTTGCTTTTGGAGATGGGGTTTCTCTGTGTAGACCTGCCTGTCCTGTAACTCACTCTGTAAACCAGACTAGCCTCAAACGCAGAGTCTGCCTGCCTCTGCCTCCTGAGTGCTGGGATTAAAGGGGTACACCACTACCACTCAGCAAAATAAATATATACTTTATAATTTTTAAAGTAATACATAAGACACTGGGCATAGTGCTGTAACCTTATCATCTCAGCACTCCAAAGCAGGTGGATTACAGGCTCATGTGGAATGCTGAGTGAGTTCGAGGCCAGACTGAGCAATTTAGTGAGATTCTGTCTCAAAATGAAAAGTAGGGGCTGGAGACAGCTCAGCAGTTAAGAACACTGAATACTCTTGCAGAGGACCCAGGTTCAATTTCCAGAACCACTCATGACGGCTTTCAACCACACATATATAATTCCAGTTTCAGGGGATTCAACACCCTTTTCTGCCTCCTCGGCAGGCACTCATGTGGATGGAGGACATACATACATGGAAGCAAAACACTCACACACATTTTAAAAATGTCATTTTAAAATATAATGGTAAGGCTGGGGACTTAGCTCCGTGGACAGCCCCCACACTCTTTGTGAAACTTGCTGACTGATGAACCGCGCAGAATATCCCGGAAGAATACTGCTGGCCTAGCAACAGCTGGCCAGAGGCCGTCCTGACCCATCCATCCATCAGCAATGCCTCTTTCTTTCCAGGACGCATAAAACACAGGATATTATGTACAACCAGACTCTCCCAGGCACCATTGGCCTCGCAGCTCACGCAGCCTGCACTGCCCCCTAGCGGTCAGCCAGCTCCAGGCGCCAGGTCCTCTGGCCCCTTCTGCCTTCTCAAGTCCTAAGTGGTGTTGGCGCCCTCTGCGGTTCGTATGCCCTCAAATCTCATTTTTTCCACTGTTGCCAAATGGCTCTGTGTCTCCATCAGCTACATTTCCTTTATTTTGTGAAAGAAAAGGTATTTAAGACGGCTCAGTGGTTAAGAGCTCTTGCATAGGACCAAAGGTTGGTTCGCAGCAACGAGATGAAGGCTTACACCTGTCCTTAACTCCAGTTCCAGAGGATCCCACGCCCTCTTCTGGCCTCCACAGGAAGGGGGCATGTACGCCCGTGTGCTTACATGCACGCAAAACACAGAAACATAAAATAAAACTAATAAATTTAAAAAAAAAAATAGGAGGCAGACAAGATGGCTCAGCAGATGGCTGCCAAGACCTAAGTTCAGTCCCCATTATCTACACTATGAAAGGAAAAAAAAAAACTGAGTCCCAAGAGTTGGCTGTCCTCTGACATCCACACATGAACCCGGCACATACACACAATAAGTAAATCATGTAAATTTTAATTAAAAGGACTAATGATAGCAACTAAAGAAAGAAGACTAAAGATGTAGCTCAGAGATACAATGCTTGTGTAGAATCCCCCAGTGAGGGGCTGGGGTGTGTTTCAGTGGTAGGGCATCTGCCTAGAATCCCCCAGTGAGGGGCTGGGGTGTGGTTCAGTGGTAGGGCACCTGCCTAGAATGTTTATGGCCCTGGTTCCATCCCAGCACTGTAAGAGACAGACAGCACCCGGCAGTTTGACTAGGTTAAAGGTAAGTCCTCACTGTAACTCAGCATGGCGATTCCTTGGAACTGAGTGCAACTTCTGACTTGTGCAAACAAGAACATCAGCACCACCCTACAGTGATGGAAGCCAAGGATAGCCATCCAGGGGAGCAGGAATAAGCAAACCATGGGATCCAAGTCAGGGGGTGGCTGTGGGGGCGGGAACCGAATTGGACTGAAAGCCCTGTTTTAAGTCCTATGATCTGAGAGGACTCTTGGCCAGAACAGCAAGCATGGTCACGCCTGGGAGGCCAGCAAGGCGGAGGTGAAGGCAGGAGGATTACATCAGGAGTTCAAGGTCCATCCTGGCAATACAACAACAAATCCAAAGTCAGCCTGCCCACACTACTACAGGAGACCCTGTTAGGAGAAGAAGCAGGGAGGGATGGATTTTTAGCACAGGCAAAGGAAGCTAAGACAAGAAGATCTCTGTGAGTTCCAAGCCCACTAGGGTCACATCAGGGGGTGGAACATTCTAAAACTCAAATTTTAGGAGCCATAAGTGAGGCTCTGGAACTCACAGCCAGACTTCTATCTTGTGTGTGCCAACGGCTTTCACACACCACGAGAGAGGCAGGTCACCAGAACGCATTCTCTGTGGCCTGTAGAGATTAGATTAACCATAATCATTCACAGAAGTTGGCCAGGCCTGACTATATAACAATGAGAAATAAATAATTTAAATTCAGAAGGCAGAGGCAGAGGACTCTCTGTGAGTTTGAGGTTAGCCTGGACTAAATAGTGGATTCTAGGCTAGCCAGAGCTAACTTGCCTCAAACCATAACAAAAACAACTGCAGACACAAGAGGAAGGAGGGAGACAGACTCTGTGTACTTCTTATCTTTGGTTTGGAGAAAGGGATACTTTCTGCTGCACAGGCAAGCCTGGTACTTGCTAGTAGCTCAGGCTGCTCACAAAATGAAGACTTTTCTGCATCTCCCGAGCTAGGATTAGAACATTGCATCACCAGGCCTGTAATTCCCCAAAAGTTGAATGCCAAGTGAAACTTGGAGATTGTGCAAGTCAGGATGGTCCCAGGGCAGAGGGATCGGCGGCCAGGAAGAGCAGAGAGGCCTGTGGGGTTCATGAGGATGCTCTGTGTAGGGATATGGAACCCAAGAGTAAACATATAAGAACACAAGCAATTTGTACAAGTACAGTGTGTTCACACTTTACCTCATTTTACATAACACCATTTGTTGTTTTGTTTTAGAGCTGGAAACAATCTCATGTCTTTCTTTGAATGTTTTTATTACATTTTATTTATTATTGTTGTGAAGGAATGTGCATGCCATCGGGGTCAGAGGACGGTTTGTGGGAGTGGAGCCCCAGGTTGGCCTTGAGTTCATCCTCCTGATCGTCCTGCCTCCACCTCACAAGTGCTTGGACCACTACTCCCAGCTATAATTCAACTCTTTTTTTCCCCCAAGACAAGGTTTCTCTATATAACAGTCCCAGCTGTCTAGGAGCTCGCTCTATAGACTAGTCTGGCCTCGAACTCACAGAGCTCCATCTGTGTCCGGGGAATGCTGGGATTAAAGGTGTCTACCACCACCACCTGGCTATAATTCAACTTTTAAAGAGGGCAGAAAACGTAAGAGTCAGGAAAAACAGACCCATAAGATCTGTAAAGAATTTATGCCTAGTAAGACCCACACTAACTGGCGTTGACACAGCTGAGGGGTCCTGGAACCTTCACATAGTGCAGGCAGCACTGCAACTGGACCCCAAGAACCCTGGCAGTAGCACCCCCTCAACGGCCCCAAAGTGGAATGGCCATCGCCTGACCAGGGGATGAGTAAAATATGGTAGGTCCATCCTGTGCCAGACTGTTGTTCAACAATCAAGAGAATGAAGTACCAACGGGGGCCTGGACATGAATGAGCCCTGACAACACACTGAAAACCTTCAGAAGCCAGCCTGAAAGACCACAAGTTCTATGTGATACCCAGACAGGAAACTTCAGGCAGATAGAAAGGACAATAAAAGAGAATAAAAACAATTTACCAGTCAAGCATAATGGCATAAATATCTGAAGTTGTAGCAACTAGGGAGGTGGGGGGGGGGCGGTGCGGAGGATCAGTTCAAGGCCTGCCTGGTGTGTGGAGTGAGTTTAAGGTCAACTTGGGAAAGTTCCTTCTCTCAAAATAAAAAGACTGGGGTATGGCTCAATGGTAGAGCGCTTGCCTAGAATCCCCCAGTGAGGGTGGAGGACAGGAGTAGAGTGTTTCCCTAGCAAGAATCAGACCCTAGGTTTTATTCTCTGTACTGGGGGGAAATGTTGCCTAAAGGTTGGGTGTTGTGATACAGCCAATCCTAACAACCGAAGGGTTGAGGCAGGAGAAATGACAAGTTCAAGGCCAGCCTAGGCTACAGAGCAATATAAAAAAAGAAGGAAAGATTTATCCAAGGCTGGGAAGGAGAAGAGGGCGGCTTCGGGTGATACCTTGATAAGAGTCATAAGAACATCCTAAAATGACGTGCAGCTATGAACACAGCCTTCTACGAATGCACTACCAGTGATTGACTTAGGGCCTTCCGATGGGTGAATCATATGGCATCTGGATTATATCAATAACATGCAGTAAAGGAAAGATAAACATGGGAGCCAAACGCAGCTAAGCCCTTCCATCGTTCACCAAACTCAGAAGGGCCTCTCTCTCCATTTATCGTTTTGTTTTGTTTTCTTGTTTTGAGAGTGGGTCTCCCATGGACCAGGCTGGCCGTAAATCTTCCTGTCTCTGACTATTCAGATTGAAAGTATGCGCAAGCATGGCAGCTTTTTTTTGGGGGGGGGGGTGAGATGCAGGGTCCTGTGTAGCCCTGACTAGCTGAGGGTGACCTTGAACTTCAGATTTTCCTCTCTACAGCTCCCAAACACTAGGATTACAGGTGTGTGCTCATTACACCCATTTTAAGGGTTTGGGTTTTTTTTTTTTTTTTAAGATTTATTTTATTCTCACTGTGTAGCCTTGGCTGTCCTGGAACTCTCTCAGTAGACCAGGCTGGCCTCGAACTCACAGAGATGATCTACCTGCCTCAGCCTCTGCCTCCCGAGTGCTGGGGTTAAAGGCATGCGCCACTATGACTGGCTTGTTTTTAAGATTTTAAACAGTCATTTATTTATGTGTGTGTCTGAGTGTGGTTCTGTGCCAGACAAGGACACCGGTCCTCCTGGACTCGAGTTTTGACCAGTCTGAACTGGGAACTGGGAACCCAACTTGGGTCCTCTGGAAGAGCAGCAAGTGCTCTTCTCTACAAAGCCATCTATCCGGCCCCTAAGAGCTCCTATTGACACAGCCCCCGTCCTTACCTTCAACACCCCGCCCCACCCCAGAGACACTTGTTACTCTCTAACTAGTACCGCTGACACAAATAAGCAATGTATCTTTCATCCACTTCCAAATACACGGGTGAAATCAAAGTCTCTTCGGCAGTTACACCCTCTCCACACCACACACGGCCCTCATTTCAGCCAACTGCCTCCAAAGAAACTGTCCCCATTCCACAAGACCATCAACCCAGAGGCCGGGACCTCAAGCTAGCACCAGACATTCTGTCCCCTGGGTCAGCCAAACTACATCTTTGGCAATCCCAATCACCTGTTTCCTCCCTCTGGGTACAACCCTCCACCCAGTCCATGGTGCCCTGGGTGGCAAAGCTGGCCGGAAACCAACTGGTTAAGCATGTAGCTGACAGAGAGAGAGAGAGAGAGAGAGAGAGAGAGAGAGGGAGAGAACCTTCAGGCCTCTACTGGGTGAGGCAATAGGGCTGTGGCTAGGGTGAGGCTTCAAGGCCAACATTTAAGGAGGAACCCAGGTTGACCCCAAATTTATACCACCATGCTAGTGAGTGCCACCTTTAGTAGTCCTGGGTACCTCCCAAGACCCACCCCAGACCTATTGCTGGACAAGAGGATGCTCCTTCCTCAAAGCCAAACCCCAATCAGCTTTTATGGAAATATCCAGGTCAAAGAACCTGCCCCAAGGCCTCAGAAAACTTCCACGCTGTTGACTTAGGGGGATTGGCCAGAGGCACGCCTGCCTACACAGCCTCCTGCCCCAGTGCCTCACCTGAGTTTATGGTACTTTACACAGACAGCAGAGCTGAAAAATCGGTGCCTACGTCCACTGAGCCCTCTTCCCTCGGACCCAGCAGCCCCTCCCAAGCCTAAGGGATTCAAGCCAACACCTTCTCCCTAAGACCAACTCACAAAGCTTCCGAAGCGGATGGAATCACCTTCCTCAATGTGCACGTCAGCCTGGGCTCCACTGAGGCGGGAAATGACCGACTGGCAGCCGGGGAGCAGGGACCGGAGAGCCCCTGAACCGGTGATGTGATCAGCATGGCAGTGGGTATTCACTAGGAGAGAAGAAGGCAGAGCAAACTGAATGTTGCCGGCCCACAGCATTCAACCCTCAGACTCAAGGAGGCCGACCCTAGTCTTCCTCCCTCAGACCCAGTCTCCCTAATCAGACACTGTGTTCCAAACCTCAGCCCTCCCCCCTCCCACTCTGCGGTCCAGACCCCAACCCTCCTCCCTCAGACCCAGGGTCCAGGTCCAGTTTTCCTTCCTCAGATCCAGGGGTCCAGGCCCCACTCTCTTCCTTCAGATCCTGGGGTCTAACCCCCCAAACTCCTCCCTCATCCAGGGGTCCAGACTCCAGCCCTTCCCCCAGACCAGGCCCCCAAACAGCCTCCCGTTTCCCCAGCTCACTTTCTCCGTGGCCCCGCCTCTCACCCGCCCAAGTTTGGTCCACAGACTAACCGGCGTAGAGCAGCTTCAGTCCCAACTCCTTAACCAGCTGAGCATCCCGTTGAGCCGTCTCCAGAACAGGGTCGATCAGAAGGGCCTCTCGAGACTCCGGGTCACCCAGAAGGTAGGTGTAGGTGCAACTCTTGGGCTCAAACATCTGGGAGGGGTGGGGTACCGGAGAGAGTTCTAGGACCTGATTCCCATGCCTGGGGACCCAAGAATCCAGGCCTCCCCTCTATCATCTTCCTAGGATGCAGCAACCCCACCCCTCTTTGCCCAGGGATCAGGAGTCAGCTCCCTCCACCGGAACCAAGGAATTTCATCTTCCAACACGCCCCTAATCAAGGACCCCGCCCTCCTCTGGTAATGGACCCAGAACTCGGCCCCAAGCTCAGGGTACCCCTGATCACTCACCTTTAAGGGATCGGGACCCCTTTTTTGCAACAATCAGGCGAGATGGGCCCCCACCCCCCAAATCTCCTTTAAAGAACAGAGAAGTCCCACCCCACCCGCCACCCCGGACCCGGGACCGCTCGGTCATTCGCCCCGCCGCACCTGCCGCAGGAGGACCGGAGCCCTGGATGAGCTTCGCTGGCTCAGCCGTCGCACGGCGACCCTGAGAGCCGCGCTCGCCATCGTGCCCGGGCCGGCTCTGCACTGAGCCCAGCAGTCTCCCCGCCTAAGCCCCACGCACCGGGGCTGACCCGGGAGGGCGGGGCGGGGCGGGGCCTGTCTTAAAGGAACCGCAGATGACCCAGGAAAAAGCGCCCGCAAAGGGGAGACCCTGAAACAGGCTGAAAAGAGATCAGAGACTCAGGACATCGGGGATACTGCTGTAGAAACAGGGAGAGAAGTAGAAAGCCTCCAGACACTTGGAGACATGGAACATTTTCCAGAAAAACACGTGGTCAGCTAGTCATCCTGTGAAAAGAAAAAAAAAAATTGAAAGTCAGTGTCACCGGCATTTTGAGGAACTGTTGGATAAGTGCCTGATTACAACTCTGTTTTGTTTCATCGTTTGGTTTGGTTTATTTTTATTTTATTTTGCTTTTTTGTTTGTTTGGTTTTTCATCACATAGCCCTGGCTATCCTAGAACTTGCTCTGTAGACCAGGCTGGCCTTGAACTCAGAGATCTCCCGCCTCTGCCTTCTGAGTGCTGGAATTAACGGGGTGTTCCACCACATCAGGCAGAGACAGGGCCTTTCCATATAGTCCAGGCTGACCACAGACTTGTGGCAATCCTGCCTAAACCTTCCAAGAACAACAACAAAAATTAAGATTTTAAAAAATTATTTCTAATTATGTGTGTATCTGTTTGGTGGGGGCACAGGTGAGAACCTGTGCCAATCCCCTGGAGCTGGGACTACAGGAGGCTGCGTACAATGTCGGGCTAGAAATAGAATTTGGGTCCTCTAAATGCTCTTAACTGAGGAACCATCTCTCCAGCCCAAAAAAAAATCTTTTAAATATTTAAAAATTTCTTTTTCAAAAGAATTCCATGTGCACATAGCAGTCAGAGAACAACTTTGTTGGGTTGGTTCCCCCCCCTTTCTACCTTTACATGGGTTCCAGGGACCAAACTCAGGCTTCTAGCAATGGTTGCTTAGCAACTGAGCCATCTGAAAGCCCCTCATAAAGGTTATTTAAGCAACTTTAGTCTCTTTGTCAGAAATAGTTATTGTTTTCCTTCTTTATTTCTTTCTCCTCCTTTTGTTCTCTCTCTCGTTATTTTTAGACTGGGCCTTTGTAGCCTAGGCTGGATTTGAAGTGCCACATAAAATCAGAATGACTTTGAACTTCTCTGTGCACACACACACACACACACACCTTCACTTCCCAAATGCTGACATTACAGGTGTGTGACACCACACCTGGCTAACGGGGTTTGTTTGTTGTTGTTTGACTGTTCTGTTTCTTCCTCTCACAAACATCTCCGTGCACACAGGCACCTGCTTTGTGTTGTATCTTGCAAGTTCACTGTGAGGGTCATTTGTCTTCTTTGGGAGTTGAAGACTGAGAACTTACTGACCACTTATACCAAGGATGCAGAGATAGCTGGGTGTTGTGACGCAGGCCTCTAATCCCAGCATTCTGAGGATTGCTGAGTTAGACCAGCTAGGCCTGCCCAGTCAGGGTTATTATAGCTGCAAAGGAGCACCATGACCAAGAGCAGGTTGGGGAAGGAAAGGGCTGATTTGGCTCACACTTCCACATCATAGCCCATCATTGAAGGAAGTCAGGACAAGAACTCAAACAGGGCAAGAAGCTGGAGGCTGGTGCAGAGGTCATGGAGGATGCTGCTCACTGGCTTGCTCAGCCTACTTTCTTATAAAACCCAAGACCACCAGCCCAGGGAGGCCCCACCCACCATGGTCTGGGTCCTCCCCCACCAGTCACTAAGAAAACACCCTACAGACTTGTGTATAGCCTGCTCTTACAGAGGCATTTTCTCCATTGAGGTTCCCTCCTCTTGGATGACGGAATTGTGTCAAGTTGACATAGAACTAGCCAGCACATCTACCCACTAAACCTTGTCTCAAAAACAAACTCACAAAGCCAATAAATTGCATTATCTTAGTGCACAGACTATAAAACATTTTGCTCTTGGAATCCTATTGATAATGGACATACTCCTGGGCTAAGGGTGAAGGGTGTGGCTTAGCCATAGAGCCCTTGTCTACCATACATAAGGCCCTGGTTTCTATCCCCAGCTCAAGAAGAAAAACCAAATCCTCCATTCCAGCCGGGGTGGTGGTGGCGCACGCCTTTAATCCCAGCACTAGGGAGGCAGAGGCAGGCGGATCTCTGTGAGTTCGAGACCAGCCTGGTCTACAAGAGCTAGTTCCAGGACAGGCTCCAAAACCACAGAGAAACCCTGTCTCGGAAAAAAAAAAAAAATCCTCCATTCCAGTGGACCTCAGTCACACCGCAGTTTGTATTCTGAGAGAATCAGCAGCAACAGTCCATCCTTATCTCCTAACCCTGCAGTTCTCCCCGTGCCAACCCCGCTGGGCAGCTCACAGCAAGACCTGTTGGTATAAACTAAGTATATGACCGGCTCCAAGGTTGAGGGGAAGGTTTTTATTATAGATATGAGGGAAAAGCACAGCTAGGGGCATCTGGAAGAGTCCAGAGCAGGGAGACAAAGTCGTACCCTGAACATGACCAGCGGACTGGACTTGGTCACGGGGTGGGGATGGGGTTGGGTTGGCGAGAGAGGTAGACCAGGAGAGTGTGGGCAAAGGAGATGAAGAGAGCAGGAATGCCTGACGGAACAGTAGGGTTATAAGGGAAAGGAGGAGCTGGCTGAGGGAGGCCCCGTGAGATGGAGGAGTATGGGGTAAGGGGCGGGGTGAGAGGAACTCTCAGGTTCTGGTGGTGCTGAGCGAGCCTGGAGGCCAGCAGGAGCTTTGCTATGCTAATAGGCACCACAGTTGGTCTTTTGTTTCTTTTGGACTTGAGACTGTTCCCAGCTTTACACAGCGTACTTTGCTTTGACCCTACACTCCCTGTTTAACAAAATTGTTACATAAAAGCCACATTTTCCAAATCTTCTGTCTCCCTCTCTCCGATTAAGGAACCAGCCCTAGGGGTCCCACTGTGTTTTTCTCCCTCAAGCTTCCAGGCAATAAAAGGCAAGTTTGGAACTTTGAGACAGCTCTGCAGGTAAAAGTGTTTGCCTCCAAGCCAGAGAGCCCAAGTTCAATCCTGAGCGCCCCCGCTCCGCCCCGCCCCTCCCCAGCGGAAGAAGGGCCAAGTTTCCCATGCTATCTTCCGACCTCCACACTTTTGGTACGAAACAAATACACCCCGCACCCAAAAATTAAAACCACCATTGCTGAAGTCCTTGGCATCTCTGGGGGCTTTCATCACAGAAGAGACTCCGAAAATCACTTGGAGACATGGCTATGCTTAGAAATTTGAATGGGACATGAAGAAGGGAGCCAGGGGGCTACCGAGAGGCATTGTGAAAGAACAGAGGGAAGGACCATGGGATATTTAACAATGAAATACAGACATGTCCAGGCCAGGCGATGGTGGCACATGCCCTTAATCCCAGCACTTGGGAGGCAGAGGCAGGCGGATCTCAGTGAGTTTGAGGCCAGCCTGATCTACAAAGTGAGTTCCAGGACAGCCAGAGCTACACAGAGAAACCCTGTCTCAAAACAAAATAAAACAACAGCAAAAAAGAAATAGAGCTGTACAGGTACAATTGACTGCAGAAGATTGTGAAAAGCCAGGCATGGTAGCTGATGCCCATAATCCCTGCAAGCGGGACTCAAAGGTGGGATGACCATGAAATTTTGTTATTGTTTGTTTTTGAGACAAATTCTCTCTGTATATAGTTTCGGATGACCTGGAACTCACTCTGTAGACCAAGCTGGCCACAAACTCACAGAGATCCACCTGCCTCTACCTCCCGAGTGCTGGAATTAAAGACATGGGCCACCATGCCCAGCTTTGTATTGATTCTGAGGTCAGCTTGGTGACAATGTGAGACTCTGTCTCAAAAACACAAGATCGTGTGAGCTGGATAAACAGAGGCAAGCAGAGAGGGAAGTAATATGGAACCAGGGAGGGGGGAGAAGAGGTAGCCCAAGAGGAAGAGGCAGGAAATGCTGCTCAGCCTCCCAGACACCCCTGAAGTCCCTCACTTGCCTAGCCCAGGCTTGAAGAAGCTATGACTCAGAAGAGAGTCACCAGGCCAACTGGAGAGGGACACAGTGCACACAGTCAGGAGGTACTAGGATTGCGGAAGCCCAGGAGAGACAGGGGCCCGGAAATCAGTCCCCTTAGGCCTAGCTGAAGAGCCCAACCATCCCTGCTGCTTTAGCAGGACTTTGGATCCCTGTCCCTGGCCTGCCACACTCTGCTAAATTCTACCTGAGCCACACCCCCAGCCCCTCACTGGGGGATTCTAGGCAGGGGCTCTACCACTGAGTCGCACTCCCAACCCTCCTTCTACTGTTTAAATCCCTGCCCTGCTTCCTCACTGTGTCTGGATTCCTTCCTAAGCCCTTTGACCCTGACTTCTACTTTCCCCCACCATTCCCTCAGTAGGAAAGCTTCCCGTTGGTTATCTACACAAGGCAAATGTGTAAACATTATGTGGAAAGCGCTGTTCTTGCCTCAGACAAACAAGACGGGTAATCTGTCAATCTTAATGTATATTCTAGAACACGGGTACACAGTGGGGCAGTGGGGAAGGGCGGAGATGACAAAGGAGTGGAGGGGAGAGTTTAATATTGTCATGTATTTTTTAAATGATTTATTCATTTTTATGTGCATTGGTATTTTTGCCTGCATGTATGTCTGTGTGAGGGTGTCAGATCCCCTGGAGGTAGAGTTACAGGCAGCTATAAACTGACATGTGGGTGCTGGGAATTGAACCCCGGTCCTCTGGAGGAATAGGCAGTGCTCTTAACTGCTGAGTCATTTCTCTGGCCTCTCAGATCTTTAATCCTAGTACTATGGAGGCAGAGTCAGGTGGATCTCCCTGAGTTTAAGGCCAGCCTGGTCTACTGAGTAAGTTCCATGACAGCCAGAGCTACGTAGAGAGGCCCTATCTAAAAAACAAAACAAACAAACAAAAAAAAAACCAAAAGAAAAAAAGACGACAACAACCACAAAAAAAAAAAAAGACACTGATTGGACAGTTAGGATTTGTAAACACTTCCCATTGATAATTCAGTACCAAGAGACCTCAAATTCCTAGATGAAGACACTGAGATCCAGAAATGTGAAGTTACTAATGGTCATATAATTAGAAAGTGCCAGATTCCAGTCCAAAGCAGTTACTCCGCCCCGACAAATACCTCCTGTGACTCCCTGGACTGGCCAGACCCTGTGGGTTACACGGTCGAAGGCACAACAGTGCGGAGGACTTTTATGAGCACCTCACAGTCACTGCCTGGAAGAAGGCCAGGCACTCCGTGTCACCCTTGGCCTGGCACTCCTGGACCACCCAGGTTAGGGAAGGGAGGCAAGCGGCACCAGATGCTGGGCGTGGCTCTAGTCACCCAGTGGTGAAGGGTGCCTAAAGTTCTATGCAAATACTTTTGGGTGTCAGCCAGCTCATTGAGCCAAGAGTCCTGCCCCCTGCCCTTTCTGGAAGAAATAGCCAGACTTTCTGTAAACACTTGGAGGAGTGGAATCAAATAGACCCGGAGCTTTTGAAACTGCTCCCAGAAGTTGAGCTCAGACTGTCTATGGAATTCTCAATACGAGGCCAGAGAGACAGCTCAATTGGTAAAAGGCAGCTGCAGTCAAGCCTGAAGACCTGAATTCGATCCCTGGGACCCACATGGTGAAAAATAAAACCTGAGTCCCACAAGTTGTCCTCTGACCTCCACACTCAAACACCTCCACATAGTAAGTAAATGTAATAAACTTGAAAGTAAATAACAGGGACATTAACAAAAAGAAGCAGGGCGTGGCTGTGCCCGTCTGTCTCAGCACTTGGGAGGCAAAGATTTGAGGGTCACTAGTTCAAGGTCATTCTCGGTTATGTATGGAGTTCGAGGCTAGCCTGGGCTACTCGAGACCCGTCTCAAAAAAAAAACCAAACAACAACAACAAAAAAAAAAAAACACGGAGGGTTGTGTATGCAGTTCGCCACCGTAGGCCTTACACCGTCCCAGCTGTGTACTTTCCTAGGGTTCTTTGGCCGATAGCTTCGCGCTTGCTCACGAACTTGCCAGCTGGGTGGTACATCCACCTCCTCCTTCCACCGTGTCTTCCCGGCTGCAACCTCTAGCCGGCTGTGACTGCGCATGCGTGCCGACGCCCCCTCCAGCCCCGGATGGGAGGAGGGGATGAAAGTGAGGTTGGGCCCCGCGGCTTGCCGGGGCTCCTTCTTTCCCTCTCTCCTTCCCTCGGGCGGCGTCTCCCGGCGCTCACAGGGCGGTGCAGATCCGAGGGTTGCAAGGTAGCACTCAAGGGTTAGCCGAGACGGGAGGGTTCCGGAGCCCCACCCCTGGGGAGAGGCTGCAGGTGAGGAGGGCAGGGCAAGGTCCTGGTCCCCTGGAAATAGATTGGGGGTTGGACACCGGGACCCCGCGGACGGTAGACTTAGGTCCGGATGCCCTGGTTCTTGAGTGCATGCGATGCCAGATGCTTGGAACTCCCTCCAGTGAAAAGTCCATTCTTTTCGTCTTTTTCTCCAGGTCTCCCTATCCTTCGAGGTTTCCAGTTCTACACCAGGGATGCGATTTAGCGACCAGAAGGACAGGGTGGACACAGCCTCCATGGACTGAGACTAAATGCAGGGTAAAGCCCCCTTTTCCACTTGAAATCCCTGCCACTGCACTCAGAGGGCCCACCTCTGGGACAGTGTGGCCAAAGGCACGCCCACGGAGCTCAAAGACCCGCCCCTGGGCTTGGAAGGCACGGCCACTGACTGCTGTGATACCTTTTGCATAGCCCCTCCCCTCTCAGGTTTAGAGGCCCCGCCCACTCCAAAATAGCCTCCAATCCCCACCCAGCAAAGAAATGATCTCTTGGTTTGATTTGCATATCTCCTCCCAGGGTGCGCTTAGTTTCCGACTTCCAGCCCGGCTGCTCGTTTGAATCAAGATCAGACTTAATCAAAACCCAGGTCCTAACTGACTTTCTAATTTTAGGCCCCCACCACTGTCTCTGTGAATTTGGTAATCACCGGCGTCACTCCTACCCTCTTAACTGCTACCCCTGGGTTCCTCTGCCAGCAAGATGCTGGGTGGAAATGTGAAATCCGAGGCCACTTGCCAGGACCCGGTGACCAAGGGAGGTGAGAGCAGCTCGAGTTGTACATAGGGATCATTCCCCAGGATTGACAGCTGAGAAGAACCTGTTAGAACCATTCGGAATTACCCACACACCTGCCCCGCGCTCACGCGCAACAGGTTGCAAAGGATCTTACCCTCACCCGCCAATCTGGCTGGACCTTCCATTTGCTGGGGCTCAGGAAACTACAGGAGATGCATAGGGGATAATGTGGGATTATGGGTAGAACTGGAAATGAATACTTTTACTAGGTTTCAGGACCAGAATTGACAAGTCTTTGAGATAGAACGTGGGGTGTGAGGGCAAACAGATGTGATCCTTAATGGGACACCATTGTGACACTTGCCTGCTCAGACACTTTGAGATGCCCCTCTGGTATTAAGAAATGGCAGAGCCCAGCATGGTAACTCAGGTCCCTAATCTCAGCACTCAGGAGGCAGAGACAGGGAGATCTCTGAGATTGGGGCCAATTTGGTCTACAGAGAGTTTTCCAGGACAGCCAGGGCTGCATAGTGAGGCCCTGTTTCAGAGAGAGTGGAGAGGGGAGGCAGAGCCTGGCCTGGGCCCGGGGCGTGCCTACTAGTAGAAGCTAACCAGCTCTCACGTCCCCTAGTCCCCCACCAGGACTTGCCCAGCCAGCCCGCCGCATCTGGGAGCGTGCCCTCCCCGCCCCGCCGGCGGCCCCCACCCCAGCGCCCGCACCGCTGTCCGGACTGCCCCAAGGCTTTCTCATACCCATCCAAGCTGGCCACGCACCGGCTAGCGCACGGCGGCACCCGCCCGCACCCGTGCCCCGACTGCCCCAAGGCCTTCTCCTACCCGTCCAAGCTGGCCGCGCACCGCCTCACGCACAGCGGAGCTCGCCCGCACTCCTGCCCGCACTGCCCCAAGGCCTTCGGCCACCGCTCCAAGCTGGCGGCGCATCTTTGGACCCACGCTCCCGCCCGCCCCTACCCATGCCCCGATTGCCCCAAGTCCTTCTGCTACCCCTCCAAACTGGCGGCCCACCGCCACACGCACCACGCCACCGACGCCCGCCCCTACCCTTGTCCACACTGCCCCAAAGCGTTCTCGTTTCCCTCCAAACTGGCGGCTCACCGCCTATGTCACGAACCCCCCACTGCGCCCAGCAGCCAGACCACTGGCCACCACCGATGCTCCAGCTGTGACCAGGCCTTTGGTCAGAGACGCCTCCTATTGGTTCATCAACGCAGCCACCACCAGTCCGAGGGCCAGGGAGAGAGGGAGTGAGCTGTTGGTCCAGCCGCCCATCTGCCTCCGCCACGTGTCAATAAAGACCTGAATTTCTAAGCCCTGTTTTATGTGTGGACTTTCCTCTAACTGGGAGAAAGACAGGGGCTTCATACATGTAGCCCAAGCTGGTCTGGAACTCTCCATCCTCTTGTGGCCTTCCAAATCCCGGGTTCCAGTTATGTATGCCATCTCTTTTGGGATTGGCTATCCTGGAATCGGATTTAGATGGTTGGGAAAAATTCTATTTGTGTGGAAGGGCAGGTGTTATCTGATTGGCACTGGATTCAAACCTCGGGCCTGGAGTTGTTGTGATAGGGGCCCCTCCTGCTCCCCTACACACACACACACACACACACACACACACACACACACACACACACACACTTTGTATGGCAAAGGTAAAAAGCCTGATGGCATCTTGGGTTGGTAAGGCACACCAGCTCTTTGTTTACTGCTGAAAGTGCCTCTGCCTTGGCCATAAGGCATTTACAGCACACACTTACTTGTGGCAGGGATTTATCCTGTACACTCTAGCCTGTGATAAAGTCATAAAGGAACAGCAGTGTGGTGTGGCCACACTGGGAACAGGCCATCACATACCCACCTCCAGGGACCAGGAAACAGGGCACTGTGTTTACAAAGTGCTCTGAGCACAGAGGGGACAGAGGCCAAAACAAAGGACAGACCACCACCAGCAGCACCCGTACTGGGAAGCTCAACACAGGAGTGCCTCTGAATCTCTTGGGAACCTGGGACAAGGTGTGTAACTTTTCTCTGGGAGCTAGGACTTTGTGTTTTCTGTTTGTGGGATTTTTTTTTTTTTTTTTTTGACAGCATCTCATGTCTCCAGGCTGTCCTTGGACTTATGTGGTACTGGTGACTGAACCAGGGCTTCATGAATGCTAGGCAGGCTCACACTTTTCAGTGGGTTGGTTTTGTTTGTTTGCCTCCATTTATATATGTACACCATATGTGTACCTGGTGCCTGTAGAGATGAGAATGTTAGAGACGGTTGTGAGCCACTATGTGGGTCCTAGGAGAACTCCAGCCCTTTGCACAAACAAGTGCCCTTAACCACAACACCATCTGTTAATCCACCATAAATACACCACCCTACTCTTTTGGCTACCTGTTCACTGTTTTATTTTTTTTAACATATGATCTATGTAATCTTGGAATTCACTCTGTAGACCAGGCTCCTTCAGTTCCAGAGACCTGCTTTCTTCTGCCTCCCAAGTGCTAGAATTAAGTGTGTGCCACCAAACCTGGTCTCCTTTTTAGTGTTTTAAGATAAAGGTTATTCTGTAGCCCAGACTGGCTTAAGCTTATGGCAATCCTCCTGCGACAGCCTCCTGAATAGGGACCACAGGCATTTGCCAACACTCTTGGCATAACAGGGTTGCTGTAAACTGTGTGTCATGCCAGGACAGGTCAGGTGGAGCCTGAAGGATGAGGGAATTGATGTTTCCTACATCTGTGTTCTGTAGATCTAAATTACACACCTACTGTGTGTTGAGCCCTGCATGGGGTGTTCAGAGGACCAACTCCTGAAAGTTGTCCTGACCCCCCACATGCATGCTGTGGCACATGCCCCTGCTCCACTAAATAAATAAAGCAGAGCTAGGAGTGGTGCCACACACCTGGAGTTCCAGCACTCAAGAGGCAGAGGCAGGAGGATTGCAAAAGCTCAAGACCAATCTGGTCTACATAGCAAGTTCTAGGCCAGCCAGGGCTATAGAGTGAGGCCCTGCCTACAAATAAAATTTACTAACAACACACACACACACTAGGTCTGTTGGCAAGAACCAGTCTGAGTGGCTTGGCACACTGCTTTCCAGACACTGGGGAGGTGTAAAGGCTGCGGTGGTGTCATCTGTGATCTTAAATGTTCACAACCCTGTGTTTGTACCGACATATGTCAAGCCCTACCTGTCACCAGGGGGTGGCAGCGTTTTCCTGTAAGGAGCCAGACAATTTACAGGAGTTTGTCTTTCTCCATCACGAGCGCCCCAGGGATCCAACTCAGGTTGTCAGGCTTAGCAGCAAGCACCTTTACCTACTGAGCCGTCTTCCTGGCCATCTGGGGTTTTTTGTTGCTTTGATTGGTTTCTTAAGAGATGAAAGGAGAGGTTTTCTTGGCTAAGGTTCAGGGATTACATCATGACGTCGAAAGCATGACGGCTGAAGCAGTCAGGGGTTAGGTCCATGGCAGTGGAACATTCAAGACTGTAGCACGGCCTGTTCAAGCCCTCTCAGTAAGCAAGAGCTGTTTCGGTTTTTGAGATAGTTATTTCGAGCTGGTCTCAGATGCATTATGTAGCTTAAGATAACCTGAAATCTGTTTTTTTTTTTTTCTTTTATTTTTTTTGGAGACAGGGTCTGGCCTGGAACTTACTCTGTAGATCAAGCTGGCCTAAAATTCAGAGATCCACCTGTCTCTGCCTCCCTAAAGGTGTATAACATCACACTTGGCTCTAAGTCCTATTTTTTTTATACTTAGTTTTACTACTTGATGTGTATGGGTGTTTTGCCTGCATGTTTGTCTGTGTGCCATGTGCATGCCTGGCACCTGTGGCAATCAGAAGAGGGCATTGGATCCTCTAGGACTGGAGTTATAGGTGGTTGTGAGTCACCATGTGGGTGCTGGAAACTGAACCTGGGTCCTCTGCAAGAGTCAATGCTCTTAACCTCTGAGCCATCTCTCCAGCTCTTAAGTTCTATTTTTTTTTCCAGAGGTAGTATCTCACTCTGTAGCCCAGACTGGCATCAAGCCTACTAAACGCCCACTAAATGCATATGCCACCTAGACCTGGGTTAAGATACAAACCTAGCTGGGCAGTTGGTGGCACACACCTTTAATCCCAGCACAGTGAGCTTCAGGACAGGTTCCAAAGCTACAGAGAAACCCTGTCTTGAAAAACCAAAATAAAAACAAACAAACAAAATACAAATCTAAAGAGTAAAATCCCAAAATGTTTAGATGAAAAGTATGGAAAGCAGAATTATATTAGAGACCAGAAGCAAAGAAAAAAATATACACATACATATATATGTAGGAAAAAATATATTTACCCCCCAAGACAGTGTTTCTCTGTCCTGGAACTAGCTCTTGTAGACCAGGCTGGCCTCAAACTCAGAGATCCGACTGCCTCTGCCTTCCAAGTGCTGGGATTAAAGGCGTGCGCCACCACTGCCCGGCAGAAAACATATTTGAAACAAAAATAAGCACAAATCATGAACGAAGAGACAGATAAGCTTGACCATGAGCAGGTGTAGAGTTAAACCCTGAGGAGACTTGCCCCGTGCTCCCTGAGATCGAGGAGGTGAGGAACTAAGATCTGAATGTTCCGGAAGTGGACAGAGGAAGTGAGCAGGCTGCTGTGCCACAAGAGGCAGAGGAAGCCTTGGAGGAGGGATCAGGATCCTTCCTCCCTTCCAAAGCTCAAATGGCAGCAGTGCTCACACAGAAGTGAGGCACAGTGATGCCTGTTTTATAAGGCCAGCATTTGTGAGGTGGAAAGGAGGGCCAATTCAAGGTCACCCTCAGCTACTTATGGAGTGTGAGGCCAGCCTTTGGCTATGAGACTGGCTCAAAAACAAAGAAACCAAAGGTGCTGGTCTGGGCCAACTTTACCTTGTACAGATAGAAAAACTGAGGCTGAGAGGACAGTGGCAGAATGGGCAGAAGTGGGTCTCTAAGCAGCCCAATGCCCTACTTCCTGCCTGCCCTCCCCAGAGCCTTTGCACCTCTTTAAGGGCTCTCTGGGGGCTTTTGTTCATGTGCCTAGTTCCTGCAGAGGACTGGTACTCCTTTGACAGGTCTTACAACCCTATCTAAATGCACCCCCATTGCCTGTCACGCTGCCCTGTTTAAGTGCCCACACTGCACACCTACTCCCCGGCCTCGCCACTACCAAGCACACAGGCCCCATGACACCAGGGACTAGTGTCTTTCTTCACTGTCTCCCCAGCATTTCACAGACGGGCACATGGCACACAGTCACTCCATGGACCTGGGAATGTGTGGATAGGGCACATGGAAAGGGAGAATGGGGTAGGATTGAAGATTCTGGATCAGTGGCCTATTTATAGACCTGTGAACAGCTGGGGACACAGTCCAGTGGTGGAGTGGCTGCAGGTGCTGAAGGCCTAGACTCAGTCCCCAATACTGTTACCAAAATAATAGCTCAGGTGAGGATCCCATCACCAGAAGAGTCTTTCTCTGTGTGGCCCTGGATGTCCTGGAACTTGCTTTGTAGACCAGGCTGGCCTCGAACTCAGAGATCCTCCTGCCTCTGCCTCCCAAGTGCTGGAATTAAAGGCACACACCATCACCAACTGGCTTTTTTTAAGTTCACTGAGACAGTCTCATGTCATCCAGGTTGACCTCAAACTTCCTATGTAGCCAAGGATGACCTTAAACTGCTGATCCTCTTGCTTCTATGTCCCAAGCACTGTGACGATGGATGTGCACCACCCTATGTGGCACATCACAGGGTGTTTGTAAGACAGGGACGCAGGAGGCATGGGCACAGTGATGTAAGGTGAAAAGATGCAACCAGTCCCAGCCACCCTCAAACAGAGGGACTGCGGGCAGCCCCTACACGTTGGAAAAGCAAGCAGGCTGGGTCCGGAGTCTCTCCAAAGGCCTGCTCCAGTTACACTGATCTGAGCCCAGACCCCCAGACGTGCTGGAGAACAGGTCTCAAGCTGTTGAGTCTGTGGCACCTGACTGCAGTACCAGGAGTGCAGCTGGAATGGGTGAGCCACTGACCCACTGACCAAGTACACAGAGCCCCAGAACAGGACCGGTGTGACCTGGTCAGGAAACAGTCGAGGGCGGAGAAGATCGATAACCCTTGGCTGGTTAAAGTTAGGAAAGGGCCTGGCATGTCCAAGGACCAGGTCTCAACCCTGACTGACTCTGGCCTTTGTCCTGCTTAAACTGCTTAAAGCCCCTTCTGGCTCCACCCCAGAAAGTCCAAACTCCTCAGCCTGGAGTTCACAGCCCTCCTGGGCAGCCCCATCCAAAAGAACTTAGCCCAGAGTGTTTTGAAATTTGTGACCCTGTGACGGAGGATCTGAAGTCAACCTCCCTGCCTGCCTTTTCTCTCCCTCCCTATTCTTGTTTTTTTTTTTGGGGGGGGGGTGGATAAGGTCTCACAATGCACCTTATGTGCTCTAACGCTTAGCAATCCTCCTGCCTCCATCTTCAAGAACAGGGTCATATTCCACTATTCCTTTATATTAAATGGCCACCTGTGTCTGGTGACCACAATGGCTGGAACCTGAGGACCCAGCGCCCTTCCCTGTGAGCAGCCTCAGGCTACTCCCACCATTGCCACCCCCTTCCCTCAGGCTTGATCCCCTAACGGCTCTGCTCCATTCCCACCTTCACCACGGAGCCTTAAAGGGGTCTCCAGGTTTTGGGTGACTTGGTGAGAACAGCATTCCTCTCCCCACCCCCACCCCGTGCCTCCCAAGATGGATGGAACCACCCTAGCAATGCCACACTGGCACCAGGAAAGGAACCTGGGAAGCTGGCACAAGCTATGAGCGTCCATGCCTCCAGCTCAAGCCCAGAAGGACACCGACATGATGGCGAAGAGCAAGCTGGGGGCAGCGCAGAGTGGCAGAGTTCCAGCTCCTGCCTCCTGGCAGCACAGGAGCAGAGTCATCTGAGAGAGAGCTGTTTCTTAGCAGACCTCTGGTGGAAGGGCCCCACTCACCTCTTCCAGACCCTAGGACAGGGTTATCGGAGAGAAAGAGCGCAAGCTGAACCCAGACAGAACCTGAGCTGGAGCCTCCTGAGAAAGGAACAACTATGCCAAAAAAAAGTCTTTATTAAACTCATGTGTGCACACGTGTACACACGTATACAGGTGTGCACACTCAGGCCTGGGGCACCACCCCATAGAGCTGATGGGGGAGTAACTTCTGCTTTTCATTACAACTGTAGATCCACCGGGGCCGGACGAACGCCAGGGAAGGGTTGTCCATCAGGGCCTGGGGGAGAGGGGTCCACACGGGATAGAGTATCACAGGACAGAGGCAACTCGAAAGTGGGCTTGGGTTCTCCATCTCTGCCCCTGCCCCAACCCAGGGCTCACCTCCTCAAAGACGGGGTCCCACTCCTGGGCTGTGATAACGAACTGGACACGCTCGCTCATGTAGTCCTCAAGCTCACTGGTGGGAGAGAGGAGGTTGTGGGGAGGGCTGTGAGCGGCCTGCCCACACTCTCAGGAGTGCTGCACTGTCCGCTAAAGCACCGTCTTTCCCTTGTCTCTCTTGCTGAGATGCTGAGATCTGTATTAAAAGTATCTTTAATAGCCCCACCTCTGCCTCTGAGGAGGACACCATGACACAGTGGCCTTCAACACAGACCTAGATGTTCTCCACTGCAGTGGACACTGTCTTATCTCTGCTTTTTCTTTCTCTTTCCTTCCTTTTTTTTTTTTTTCTTGTTTTGGAGCCTGGCATATACCTCTGCCCCCTGAAGCTGCCGGTCCCTCACACAGCAGCCCCGACAAGTCACACCAGCAAGGCCCACGTTGCTAACCCTGTCTCTCAAAAGGTGTGGACGAAGAACAGCCCTCCAGGGCCACGAGGCACAGTGGACAGGGCTGGCACCTGGCCTCTGCAGCCTATGTCATCATCCTACAACCCACACCCTCTCTCTAGTCAAGTTGCCAGCTTGACCGTGGACCCACCACCAATCCACAACTGACCCATTGAAAGCGGTCACATATCGGATGAGCTTCCTCCTCTCGTCCCCAGGGAACTCCCCATAAAGGAAGAAGTGCTTGCCTTGGAAGAAGTCTGTGGGAGAGATGAGAAAAGGAAACATGAGGCCCCAAATCCCAGGACCTGACCAGGACCGTTGAGTACTTGGGAGCAGAGAGGAAGGTGGAGGTGCCCAGTCGAGGATGAGGTGCTCACAGAGTGGGAACCAAGACTAGGAAATTCTCGTCTAGCCCCAAGCAAGCCAGCAGAGGCTCCTGCGTGCCTTTGCCTGGTGCTAAGCAGAAGCCGAGACACACAGCCACAGTGTCCTTACGGTCAGGCCACAGCCACCCAGAGGCAGCCACACTTCACTTCAGCTGTTTCTCTGGCTTCTGAGCTGGTTTCCTTCCCAGGTCACTGACTCACTGTCCTCATTCTGGGAGTTTGGGGGTTCAAAGTACTTTCCTGCCCACAACCCAGGAACTGGCCCTTACAGTGACTCAATCTCCCCTTTTCTTCTCTCTTGCCCTCCTACCTCTCCTTCCTTCCTTCCTTCCTTCCTTCCTTCCTTCCTTCCTTCCTTCCTTCCTTCCTTCCCTCCCTCCCTCCCTCCCTCCCTCCGTCCCTCCCTTCCTTTATTATGTATATAGTGTTCTGCATGCCTGTATGCCAGAAGAGGGCACCAGATCTCATTATAGGTACCTGGAAGACACCATGTGGTTGCTGGGAATTGAACTCATTACTCTGAAAGAATAGCTAGTGTTCTTAACCTTTGAGCCATCTCTCCAGCACCCCCCCCCCCCTTCCTTTTTCAAAGGTAAGTCCAGGTTGGCCTGGGTCTCCTGATTGCTGGGATTCAGGCATATGCCACCATACCCAGCTCTCCTATTCTTGACCCCGGGAGGGTCAGACACCCTTCCACACCCTGCAGTTTTCCCTGTCTTCTGGCTCTATTATCTTCAAAGCTCTCCAGCAGAGTGTGGTAGCACATATGTGATCTAAGAACTTGGGAGGCTGAGGCAGAAGGAGAGATACAAGTATGAGACTAACTGGGGCTACCTGAGACTGTCTCAAAAACAAAACAGGAAAGACCACATACACAGAGACACAGATAGACAGAGACACAGAGCATTGGCTTAACATTGCCAGCAATGAGTGTTAAACAATGTGCCCAGCTCTCGGACGTCATGAGCAGCAGGACAGTTAGGAGAGCCGAGTTTGGTAGCAGGGTGGGGAGTCTTGAGGTTGCTCACACCGGGAGGGTCACCACACAGTAAGGTCACATTGGTGAGAGCAGGAAGCTGTCGGCAGCAGCAGGTGGGGTAGGACATAGCAGTGATACACAGAAGTCAGAGATCACCAACCTGGCAGCTCTGGAATTGGCAGGTCAGCCTCGGTGTCTGTATTCTCGTCTGTGGAGCCAGCATACGGGTCCTCGCCATTCTCCCCTGGAGCTGGGGGCTGCTTCTGCTCCCTCTGCTTGGCCACCCTGGAAGGTCAAGGATTGTGAGGGGTGAGCACTCAGGGAGCAGACACCTACACCCAAGGCTAGGCCGCACCTACCCAACCCAGCCTACCTCCTCAGCTCATCCTCTGTGTCCCCGGAATCTTCCGCCCCATTGTCCTGTCCTTCTGCCAGTAGCAACTCAGTCAACAAGTTTGTTCTCTAGGAAGTCTGCTAACAGCCTCGGGTCGGCACCCGAGAACACAGCCTCAACTGTCTTCTCCTTCACCCCATTCATCTGGATACAGCCCTTCCCCCTCAGACCCAGAAATCTAGACCCAAGCCCTTCTCCCCCAGACCCAGGAGCTCAGCCCCACCCCTTCTCCCTCAGACCCAGGGGTCCAGACCCCAGCCCTCCTCCCTCAGACCCAGGGGTCCAGGCCCCAATCCTCCTCCCTCAGACCCAGGGGTCCAGACCCCAATCCTCCTCCCTCAGACCCAGGAGTCCAAGCCCACCTCTCCTCTTCCCCACAGAAATAGGAATACAGACCTCCCCCTCCCTCAGACTCTAACCTGACTGTTCCCCCTCAGTGTCACTATTGTCCTGGGGTCCTGGTGAGGGTGCTTTTGTCTCTTTTGGAGTTGGTGGTCTTTTTGGTGAGCTAGGTCCTGCTGCCTGGGTCTTGGCTTTGGCCTGGGGCCGCTGAGGAAGGAGGGCTGGGTGAGTTCAGGGGCAGTGTGAGGCTGTGGACAACCAGGAGGGGCAGAAGCGGGAGGCCGAGGTAGCACAGCCTGGTCAGCTCCCAGCAGACCTCCTGACCAGCTAGGGGCATCAGACCTTATGGGGAAGCTTAGGAGTTTCATCTTCACGGCTCTCACTGGGAGAGTCCCCCTCGTCCTCACTGCTGGAGCCAAGACCTGCCATGAGGTACCTAGGGGAGAAATTGGCCTCAGGTACAGAACTAAGAAAGAACTGGGGGGTGGGGAGCAGTAGGAATCCACTGTCCCTGCCCCCTCCCCAGCACCAGAGGGGTCCATAGCATGCCAGGCAGCTCAGCCACCCACAGACTCTTTCCCTCTTGGGGAAGATCTGTCCCATCTGAGAGAGGAGAGGAATGGGAGCCAGTCTTCCCTTTGAGACTCAGAGGAGGATGCGCAGTAGGGGAGATCTCAGGTGGAACTCTGACTCTGGGGTCCTTGCACCTGTACACTCAGCCAATAGCAGAGAAAAGCGGTGTCTGCACTAACCATTCACAGGCTGGCTAACAGCATGGTTAGGTCTCACATGGCACCTACACAGTGCTGGTTACAAACCATCTAGAGAGGATTCAGAATGTGAGAGGAGCTGGCCTGGTGGGTCGTCTGCAATCCTACTACTCAGAAGGCTGAAGCAGGAGGATTGCAAGTGCAAGGCTTGCCTGGGCTACAGAGTGAACTCAAGTCCAGCCTAGGTAACTTAGTAAGACCTCCCTCAAAATAAAACCTGAAAGGAAGACTAGGGATGCAGCACAGTGGCAGAGCCCCTGCCTAGAATCCCCCAGTGAGGGGCTGGGGGCGTGGCCCAGTGGTAGAGCCCCTGCCTAGAATCCACCAGTGAGGGGCTGAGGTGTGACCCAATGGTAGAGCCCCTGCCTAGAATCCCCCAGTGAGGGGCTGGAGTGTGGCTTAGCAATTGCTTAGCATGTGGAAGCCTTGGGTTCAGTTCCTAGCAACACACACACACACACACACACACACACACACACACACACACACAGAGGAAGCTGAAGAAATGGCTCAATGGTTAAAGTTTGTACTGCTCACAGAGGACCCAAGTTTGATTTCCAGCACCCACATCTAGCGGCTCACAACTGCCTCTAGCTTTAAGGGATCTGACACCATTGGCCTCCTCAGGTACCTGAACACACACATGCATACCCCCACACAGATATATAGTCATACACATCATTAAATAGTAATACATTTTTTAAAGTATATGGAAAAATATGCACTTTTTATGTAAACACTGCGGTTCTGTATAAGCAACTTGTGTATATGCAGATTTTTAAAGATTTACTTATTTCTATTTTACATGTATCAGTGTTTTCCTGCATGTATGGCTAAACATCATATGTGTGCCTGGTGTCCACAATGACTAGAAGTCATCGGATACTCTGAGACTGGAGTTACAGACAGTTGTGGGCACTGGAAATTGAACCCAGGTCCTCTGGAAGAGCAGCCAGTGCTCTTAACCACTGAGCCATCTCTCCAGCCCCAACTACCTTCAGAATTTTGATCCTCAATATTGTGTGTGTGTGTGCATGCATGCATGCGTGTGTGACTGTGTGTGTGTGTTGAAACCAGGCCCCACTCTGACACATATGTGGGATAAGAGAGCCCACGAACACCCTCACATTCGTTCAGGGTGATAACTGGAGCGGAGATTGATGCTAAAGCTAGACAACTAGCTCCCAGGGGTGTGTGGATACCAAACACAATGTGGAGTCCACTGCCTCCTCCAGGTCAGCTGACCCACCACCTTCCTGTCTTGGTCCTGCTGATACAAGTATGCTGGGTTGAGCCCTACTTCTGAACACACTCAAGCGACATCCTGTGACCCAAGTCTCACCCCAGTCCTCAGCCTTTGGATCCGACCGCTCTTCTCCAGATCAAAAGTCTCCCTTTCTCCTGGTCTTCCACTTCCCACTGCATCCTCAGGGATGGACATGGCTGCCTATGCCTGCTTTTCTGCAGCCCAGCATGCCCTATGCCTGCCTACTACACATGCTTCTCATCCTGCAAGATTCTCCCTCCCTGCGGCCTTCCTGAGCTCCCCAAGCTGGGTCCTAACAGTTCTGACACTGGAGCGAGAGACGGTTAGTACAGGGCTCAACATCCAGGTCCTCATTTCAGTGACAGCTCTGCCTGGCACCCAGTGGAGGCTTCAAGACCAATTCTGAATAGCAGCAACCTGCAGTGTCCTTTCCCTTCTACACAATACAGTTGTCACAGAATCTGTGACCCACCATCTGCAGGCCCTACACCTCTCGCTGAAACCAGCTCATGCTGGCTGAGATCATCTGAGCTTACCTAGCTGGCCCCAGGCTCTGCATCACCCAGCTCTGGGCTGAAAGAAAGCAGGTGTGTGAGCTGCCTGGTGGGGGGCATAGTGAGGCCTTACCTCCGGGAGGGCAGCCGGCGCCGCATCCGGTAGCAGTCCAGCACCCACTCTTTCCGCACAATACGGCCTCCGAGGCCCAGGACCTGGCTGTACTTGGGAGTGTTGGCAAAGGCACAGCTGGGGGGTGCAATATAGGGATGTCAGACGTGATCTGACCAACATATGGGACAGGGTGAGAGAGATATGGGGCTAAGGGAAGGAGGCAGAAAGCAGAGAGAGCCAGGCAGCCTCCAGAGAACTAAGGAGGCAAAGACAGACAGACAGAGACAGAAGGAAGCAGGGAGGGAAAGGGGGTAGCGTTACAAGGACAGAATGAAAGCAAGAGGGCACGCAGGGCAGCACAGGGAATGGGTGGGTGGCATGGAGGGACAGAGGCCTACATGAGATGTGTGCTGTCCGGAGTCCAGTCTGGACGATACTTGGCCCCCAGCTCCAGGGCTTTGTCCCGCAGCTCTGAGCGGAAGGGGTTCTGGAAACCACTGAGCACCACCACCACACCCTGCAGAATCTTCCCCAGCTCCTGGGGGCCAGCTCGGGCTACCCTGGGCTCAGAGCTTTCTCCCTGGGGCTTCCCTGGGACCGCCTTCTGTGCTGGGGCAGAGGCTGGGGCTCCAGCTGGGGAGCGACTAGGAATAGGCACTGTGGAGTCAAAGAAGAGAAGTTCAGTGGTATCCCTGGGGCTGTGCACCCAGCACCAGCTCCCCACTGTCCTTCTTAGATGGCGGGGTCAAGACCCCCAGCCCTTCCCTTTTGACACACAAGCCTGGGTTTCTGCAGAATTAAGGAACCCAGATTGCTTACATTTGGGTCTCTTGAGGGCAGGTGGCCCTGCTGAAGGTTTGCTGGGAGGCTTCCTGTCTTCTAGGTTCAAGTCCAGTTTCCTCTTCCCTTTGGGAGACTCCTGAGGTTGAGGAGGCAGGGATGGGCTGAGGCTTCCAGCTTCTCTCATTCCCCATACCCCAGTGTCTGATGACCTCACCTTGGAAGAGCTACCCAAAGCCTTGGAGACCGGAGAGGCCGAGGAGCCTGCGTTTGAGGCCTGCAGTGTAGCTGCTGCATAGCTGGGTCCCGCTGGGTCGCTAGCAGAGGCTATAGAGGGAGGCGGTGAGCCGAGTATAAGGAGGCAGGGCAAGGACACTCCAGCACCTCTCACCGGGTATCCTGTCATTCCCACACCCAGAGGGGACCCAGGGGCTAGACCCTCCTCCTCAGACCCAGCAGGCCAGGCTCAGCCTTCCTCCCTGGACAGCATCGCCCCAGACCCAGGGATCTAGCCAAACCCCTCAGCATTTAGGCTTCCTTTTGTATGCTGAACTCAAACTTTCTTCCTACCCGAGGAGGACCTCCTGCCTCATCTCCCCTGTGCTGAAGCCAGGGCTCCATGCTAAGTGAGCACTCTGTCAGCTCCAGCCCCACACGCACCTGAAGACGTCTTGTTGATGCGACTGAAGAAGAGAGCTCCTGGTTTCAGGGAACTGGCACTGTCATCCTCCTCTTTCACACGGAACTGGCCGAGCTTGGTCACTGTCACCTTCTAAGGTTCCGCAAGGTCAGTGCTGTGGGAAAGGTGCTGGCGGGCAGGGGTGGAGAGGCGGGGAGAAGGTTCTGGGGGTGACAGGTGCTGCTTACCTGGGATGGAGCCTCCACCTCCTCTTTGTCTGGAGGGCTGTGAAACCTCACAAAACTCAGGCCATAGGGTGAGTCCTGGAATGGGAAGTTTCTGGGTAGGACAGACCTAGGCTCTCATGTCCCTTCTCGGAGGGAAGCCCCTGCTAGCTCAGCTGTAGCAGGTGCCCAGGGAGGCGACCGTGATGATAACATTAAACCTCCCTGCGCCCTAACTGTAGACAAGATCAGGGCTCAGCCCTCGACCTGCACTGACTCTTTCACCTTCACTGTAAATGGAAGTCAGGTTGTGGGCAGCAAGTCCACTTTCACGTGCTCTATCTCTGTCTGGAGCCAGTTCTGGAATGCAGAACTGCCCAGGGCTCTCGGCTCCTCTGTTGTCTGGATGCAGAACTAGAAGGGAGGCACCTGAGTTCCAGGCCCCAGTGTGAAGGAGACAGAGATTAAACACTAATGGGCCTCCACTCACCCTCTAACACTCCCTCCAGAAAACTAAACTAAGCTGCTTGTCACTGAATGACCTCAAACCCATTGCTGGGAACACAGAGATCACAATCCGACAGGGGCAGCAGCTGTCCACTACTCCCAGCTCTCGAGACTCAAGACGGGCCCCTCAGGTACCCCCTTCCCTGGACCGTTTCTCTGCTTCCGCACTAAGGTACCTTGCTGTATGGCTGGCTGCACACAATTTTAACACGGTCCCAGCACTTCTCTGCTGCGGCCCGGACTAGCTTGTCAGGTCCAAAGAAACGAACGCGGTTGGGATTCGAACCACTTCGACTCTCAGAAGGGGACATGAAAGAGGAGGTGACCAGAAGGACCTAGGTAGGAGACAACATAATGAGTGAGGAACAGAGCTAGATGACAATACAGAGGACCACATGCCCTAAGGAATCCCAGCAGAAGAGTCTCAGTGAGAGGCACAGGATTCAAACGAGTCAGCTCAAAGGCCATGAGAATTACAGGATGCCAAAAATAAGAGACCCAAATCCCAAGATGGAGAGAGCAGCGTCAATTATTAAGTGATGCTTCCCTGCCCACACCACAGGCAGGGGTGGCTCTGTGCAGTCAGCTTGGGTGGCAAAGCATCTCTGAGGACCAGCTGTGCCTTACTTACTAGGCTCTGCCAAGAGGGGGAGCTAGAGAGGCTGCAAGCTGCAGGTGATGGGCGGTCTACTCCAGATCCTTAAGCCACACCAGACAGTTTGCAGCATCCTACACGAACCCCTCTCTCGGTGACACACCTGCTCAGCCCCATGACCCTTCTACACCGTGACAGACGTGTCCATCCTTCCAACCTGCCTTCTTTTTTTTTTTTTTTTTCTTTTTTTGATTTTTCGAGACAGGGTTTCTCCGTAGTTTTGGTTCCTGTCCTGGAACTAGCTCTTGTAGACCAGGCTGGCCTCGAACTCACAGAGATCCGCCTGCCTCTGCCTCCCGAGTGCTGGGATTACAGGCGTGCGCCACCACTGCCAGGCATCCAACCTGCCTTCTATTCCTCACTCCAGGGGTGACAGCTGCCTGCCTTTTCTTCACCAGACCCCAATCTTACAGTAACAGTTGGTAACTACATTCTTATATTAAATTCTGTCCACAAAAATAATGGGCTTGGTCTCTGGCTCCAGGTCATGGCAGGGCCACCACAGAAGCAAGAACGTGGGTAGCCCCCGTCTGAACTACTTCGTGAATCCTTGTTTTGAAAAATAAACAAGCCAAGTTGGGCAATGGCGGTATACACCTTTAATCCTAGTAGGCAGAGGCAGGGGGAATCTCTGAGTCTGAGGCCAGCCTGATCTACAGGGTGGGTTCCAGGAGAGCCAAAGCTACACAGAGCAACCCGGTCCCAAAAAACAAACAAACACAGAATTCAAGGAAATAAATGCTGATACAGACAGCAGATGAAGGAACAAATGACAATCAAAATTGGCCAACTAGGTCTGGATAAAGCGAGAGCCATGTGCCCAACACAATGGACTAAATCCAGCCCATGATACAGCTCTGACCAATCAGACAGAACACAAAGGCTGCTCAGGGGTTCTGGGAAAGACTTTTCTTCCCTTCTTAAAGAGAGGTGAGAGCCAGGTGATCGTGTGTGTGTGTGTGTGTGTGTGTGTGTGTGTGTGTGTGTGTGTGTGTGTGTGGTGGGGGGCGCAGCCCTGTAATTCTAGTACAAGAGGCTGAGGTAAGAAGCTCACAAGCTCAAGAAAGTCTGAGCGACACAGTGAGAGGGAAGGGGGAGGGTGCGGCTCAGCTGGTGTTTGCCTCAGACAGGCAGCTGGAGTTAAATCACTTGTACAGCATAAAACTGGATGTGGTCCTAAACACTTGTAATCTGAGGTGGAGGCAGGAGGTTCAGAGGGCAAGGTCACCCTTAAACATAGCTAGGTTCAAAGTCAGCGAAGGAGTGGGTTGGGGAGCCAGGAGTGGTGACATACCCCCTAACCCACACTTGGGGTGTTGGCAGCAGGTCAGTGTGCAAGGCCAGGCTTAATAACATAGTAAGTTTGGGACAAACCTGGGCTACATAAGATCTTTTCTCAAAAAAAAAAAAAAAATCACAGGGAGCAGGCGGATCTCTGGGAGTTCGAGGCCAGCCTGGTCTACAAGAGCTAGTTCCTGGACGGGCACCAAAGCTACAGAGAAACCCTGTCTCGAAAAAAAACAAAACAAACAAAAAAAATCACAGGGAGGGGCAGAGGATGCAGGGAGAGGGAAGAGGCATAAAGGGGAGGGGGAGGCCATCCAGGGGATGAGAGCCACAGTATTTCTTCCATGCCACTTCCTGTACTAGCTGCTGCCAAAGCTACTAATGCTGGATGGAGTGACGTCACTTCTGACCACTGGGCCAAACCCAAAAGAAAGCTGTCAATCAAGGCCCCTCCAGATAACTGTCAGATAGAAGCTGGGTCTACATGAGACCCTATCTTTAAAAAAAGGAGGCGAGTCTCTATTTGTAGCAGGCAAAACTCTTGTGGGATATTTTGATCACATTCTGACGCCTCTAAGGCTGCTAATTAATAAAAATCTGCTTTGAATTAGAGGGTGGAGCTACCAGCTGACCAAAGTTAACCATAGTAGTTTTGGAGGACTGAGGACAGATAGAGACAGGAACTAGTAGGGTAGGGCTAAGAGAGGGTCTTGGCTACTTCTGGATGAAGAAATAAGAGAGAGAGAGGAGGTCACTGGTTGCTTCTGCGCTATGTCTCTGATCATTTAGGTTCTTACCTGGATATCTGACTCCCAAGTTTCTATTGTTAAAGAATAATTAGATAAATACATCACACACCTGTCTATGTAGTCTGTGCAGTAAAGACCAAGGCTGGTATAATCTGAACTCTCAAGTCCCAGAATCCCTCCCACCTTACCCCCAACCCCCCCCCCAAACTAATTTTCACGGAAAGAAAACATCTTGTAGAAACTGGCTTAGACTTATAGACTTGTCAATTCTATCAGGGCAAGTTTAATTTTTACTTTCACTAGTAAACCAGTAAGCTAATACTCTGAGCTATACTGAATTCCATCAGTCAAAACAGGACCTGTGAGGCTTGGTGGACTGGCCCAGCTGAGGGAGGCTGAGACAGGGGAACTGCCGGGGCAAAAGGAGAGACCCATCTCAAATAAGTAAAAAGTTAAAGAATCAATCACAAAGAACCATATTCTGCCTCAAATAGACAGGCTACCAGTGGTGATGGACATTGTGGAGCCCCAGTTCCCAGGCCACCTGTGAGAGTCTTGGCAACCTGACGAAAGCAGCTTCATGCTCAGGCTGCAGCTAGATTTTACAACCAGAGAGCCTCTTGCTGCCATTCACCCTGGCAGCCCGGCCCTTCCCCGACGATCAGCCCCACACCCTGTGTTTACTACCTCCTCAGCACCTGGGACCCTCCAGAAGGTTGGCTGGGTGGCTCCCCCACCCTCGAGTAAGCACGGGGGACAGTGATGGAGATATGGGGACGTCTTCGTCTCCCAGCCCTGCTTACCTCATAGTCCTGTTCACCAGCTGTGGCCCCTCCAGCCGAGCTGCCCACCAGCACCTCTACAAAGGCTGAGCCATCGTTCCCAATGTCTATGCTGTGTATCTGCTCCTCCTTCTCCAACTGTGGGGCAGAGAAAGGCCACCATGAGTTCCACCCTGGCCTGCTTTGGAACAGGGGACAGAGATATCCACCTGGGCTAGCATGTGCCCTGGCATGTCACCTACGTGTCAGTAGGGACCAGAACTGAGCAGCGTCATTATGTCTCTGACAGGCAGGCTGGGACAGGGCATGGAGCAGAATTCACTGAATGAATGCTCACACCCCACCCACACCGTGCACTTGCTTCACCAACACATCTCCATACCCCCACCTCGACCACTGCCTGCCATGTAGCTCTCCTCGGTGGCAATAGCCAAAGGTATAGCTGGGTTGTCATACAAAGGACACATAGAGGTTCCTGGACAAACTGTTGCATGCCAGAGGCTCCTTGGGTTCTGCATGTCACCAAGCCCTACCCTGGAATCCTAGCTATGTGCCCTTGCTTACTCTATAAACTGAGGGCTCCTAAAGTCAAGGATCTGCCACAGAACTAACTCTTTGGAGGTCACAGCACACAGTAGGCACCAGCAGCTGTCAGCATTGTTTTAATATTGGTGACACCTGTGACCTTACCTTCACTGGAAAAGCTCTGGAGGGTTTGGTGTGGCACTTAGGTCCAGCAGGAGAATCAGTTTTTTTGTTTGTTTTTGGAGGTTCTTCTTGTTGTTTTGTTTTTTTGAGACAGGGTTTCTCTGTGTAGTCCTGCTATCCAGGAACTCCCTCTGTAGACCAGGTTGGCCTTTAACTCAGAGATCACCTGCCTCTGCCTCCTGGGGTAAAAGGTGTGCACCACCTTTGCCCAGCAGATGACTCTTTAAAGTGCAGAAAAGTCAGCCAGGACTGGAGCCATTTTTCTGAGATAGCCTGAAGGCTGCCATCCAGGTCAAACATAAGGCTGTCGTTTTCCTTTTTTAAAAGTTTATTTTATCATATGTGTATGAGCAATTTGCCTGGATGTTGTCTCTGTACCATGTGCTTTCCTAGTCCCTGCAGAGGCCTGGGATGGGTGTCAGATCCTCTGGAACTGGAGTTAGATAGTTGGGAGCTGCCATCTGGGTGCTGGTAATCAAACCCTGGCCCTCTAAAAGAACAAGTGCCAGGCGGTGGCACACTCCTGGAACTCCCTTTGTAGACTAGGCTGGCCTTGAACTCACAGAGATCCGCCTGCCTCTGCCTCCTGAGTGCTGGGATTAAAGGCGTGTGCCAGGCGACAGTCAGGGTTGTTACACAGAAAAACCCTGTCTTAAAAAACAAAACAAAACCAACAAAAACAAAACAAAACCAACTCGCTGACCTGTTTCCATTTTCTGTAGTAGTCCAAGCTACACAAACCCAAAAGCTGAGATAACAAGCGTGGGCTACAGCAGCTCCATTTTCACACGCTAATTTTTAGTTTTCTTTCAGTGTGTGTGTTGGGGGTGGGGATGGGGGACATGACAGACAGGGTCTCATTTTGTAGCCCAAGCACACCTTGGACTTGTGGGGATCCCCCTGGTTCTGCCTCCCAGGTGCTGGAATTACAGGTAGGAGCCACTCTGCCTGGCCTGTTTCCTTTGACTGGAGCGGTTTTGTCAGGTGCTGGCCTAGAAAAGCCCCAGGCTTTCTACTGAATCTGTTATCTAGGAGCAGGAGCTTAACTGGAAACTCATTATTCACTGACAGAAAGCTGTTTATGAAGACTCTCACCAAAGGACCTGCGGCTCTGGCCCGAGGGCTGCAGGCACAGAAAGGTGTGTGGGTGTAGGCAGGCAGGATGGGCAATGGGAAGTCTCCTGCTGTCCCGTCTGGGCTCTTTTACACGTCCTAGGATGAAGACTTACGACGGCCCTCAAAGGTGCCTAGTCTTGGGCTTCGGACGTAGTCCAGTTGGTGGAGTGTTTGCCTAGGATGCAGGAACCCCGAGTTCAAGCCCCAGTAACACATAAACAGACATGGTAGAGCATGTCTGTAATTTCAGTACTCTGCGTGTTGAGTCGCTGAAATGAGAAAACCACATTTGCTCACTCCTACCCGACCTCAGGTGAATACAGAGGTCAGCCTGACCATCAGGTATGGACAGCGCTCCACGGGAACCAGAACTCCCGCGCCATCACTCTGTGTGGTGACACAGCTGTGCCATAATCTTATTAAAGTAGGCGTCCTGTCACGCTTGCTGGCAGCCATCACAGCCATGTTAACGGATGGCTTTACCTTTACAACGCCCTGCTCACTCAGCTCGGGGCCTCTTAGACATGTGATCATGGGAGTGTGTGCTCCCAGCCGGAACTCTGGGGCTCAGTGAAAACTTCAAACTCATAAAAGAGTTCATCCTGCTCTCCTTCCCTCAGGTGAGAACTTCCCGGAAGAGGATCAGAAGTTCAAGGTCAGGGCTGCAGAGGTGGCTAAACTGCCAGAGTTCCTCAAACCCACAGGAAGTTCGTAACCTCAAGTAACCCTAGGTCCCCAGGGACCTGATGCCTCTGCAGGCACCTGCACTAAATGCACCTACCCCTCAGACACATACTTAAAGATAAAGCCAATCTTTTTTGATTGCCTATCTACTGCCACCTGCCCTGATCTCCTCTGCCATTCTAAACCAGGCACTGTTTCTGAGAAGGAGTGTCCTCAATTGAAAAGGGAAGTCGTGGTGATGTCCCTCCCATAGAAAGCTAAGATGCCCCAAAACAAAACCAAGGCCAGCTGGGCCTTCAAGCGCAGCTACTTGGGAGGTGAATCCAGAGTTTGAGGCCTGCCTGGGCCACAGAGTGCGTTCAAGAGCAGATGGGGTAACTTTGCAAGGCCATGTTTCAGAGAGCGGGGCTGGGATGTGGGTCAATGGCGAAGTATTTGTCTAGCCTGCACAGGGCCCTGGGCCCAATACTCAGCACCACATAAGACAACAAAGCAAAACTGAGTGCTCACATCATTAACAGTGGAAACAATGCAAAACCTACTCTTCCACCAGGGCTGCCAGTGCAGGTGCTGCAATCGCCTCCTCTTCACAGGCGAGCAGCCTTGAGTAGGAAGTGGTTGTACCACAGCTGTGCAGGCAAAGCCCAAGAGAAAGATGGCCAGCTGTCACCCACAGCGCTGTTCCTGGGCCCACAGCACTGCACGCAGAGAATGTAGGCCAGCACAGAACCTTCTGGACACTGAGCCCAGCTGACTTCCTGTATGCTCAACCATTCTTCTCCAGCTACATCACCCGTCTCTCATCCAAGAAGGCTGAGGCCTCCGGCTCAGGGCCTTTGTACCGGCCGGCCACCCCAGAACCTGAAATACTCTGGCTCAGGGCCTTCGCGCCCGCCAGCCCAGAACCAGAAACTCTTCACATCTTATTTTTTCGAAACAGGGTTTCTCTGTGGCTTTGGAGCCTGTCCTGGAACTAGCTCTGTAGACCAGGCTGGTCTCGAACTCACAGAGATCCGCCTGCCTCTGCCTCCCGAGTGCTGGGATTAAAGGCGTGCGCCACCACCGCCCAGCTAACTAACTCTTCACATCTTGCCACTGCCCATGCCTTCTTTCTGAGCGAGAATCAGACGTCAGAGCTTCAGATCAAACAAAGTGGCACCGTCACCTCCCACAAGGGTTGCTCTATTCCTAAGTCTGCTTCATCTCTCTCCACATCTCTACCACTTGGACTCCCGGCTTTTTTATTGTTGCTTCCCCTGCCCCCATGCTGGGGATGTTCGGGGGTCTTGCACACACCACACAGAGCTCTACCACTTGGGGCTTATATACTTTTTTTTTTTAAACACTGGGTCTTATGTATTCCATGGAGGCCTCAAGCCTCCTACGTAGCCAGCAATGTCCTTGAAGTTTTGATCCTGACTCTCTCTCCTCTGGGTCAATGCAGTACTAGGGATCAAACTCAGTGCATGTCCAAGTAGGCTGCACAAACGGCCCAACCTCGTAGCCTATACTTGCATTGTACTTTTCTAAGACATGATGCATGACGCCAATGAGATGGGCACAGAGGGTGGGCAAAGCTGAGACAGCTGGTGCAAAAGCTGCCCTGTGTGCAGTAGTTAAAAAGAAAGATAGGGACTGGGAAGAGGCCCGGTGGGGAACGTGCTGGCCTAGCATGCAGGAGGCAGCACAGCAGGATGAGGTAGGACGGCCACAAGCTTCAGGCCAGCCTAAGGTAGAGAGTGAGACCCTGTCTCAAATATCAGGGTAGTGGTACACACCCTTAATCTCAGCAGTCTGGAGGCAAGAGGATCACAAGTCAAGGACAGCCTGAGCTGCACAGTGAATGCTTTTCTCAAAAAGTGAAGAGCTGAGGGAATGGCTCAGCAGTAGAGAGCAAGACCCTGTCTCCAAACAAAACAACACGGGGCTCTGGAAAGACGGCTCAGTGGCTAAGAGCAAAGGCTGCTCTTCCAGAGGGCCCGAGTTGGTGGCTCACAACCAGATAATAGGATCCAATGCCCTCTTCTGCACACATGCAGTTGTACATGCAGAAAAGCACCCACATACATCAATAAGTAAATCTTAAGAAATAAAAGAATTAAAAAGTTTTAAATATGGAAAAAACACAACAAGTGCAGTAGCTCATGACGAACTCCCAGCACTTGTAATGCGAAAGCTCAGAGTTGGAGGTCAGCCTGGGCTATACAACGAGACCCTGTCTCAAACAACAATTACAAAACAAAGCAAGCATGATGTGTTCCAGCGTGCCATTGACACTCAGGTGATACTCCAGTATTCCAATTGGACCTGTCCCAGCACCCCCTCCAGGACAGGCGGGGTCGCCAAAGAGACTGAACTCCCTGGCTGAAAGCAGGTGACCAGCTGGGCACTGAGTAGCCACGGCTGACAAAAGAGGTGTGTGGAGCTGACACAAGGCGAAGGCTGAACTCTGTGTTGCAATACCATTGTTGTGTAAGAGTGCTCAGAGAACACCCAGGGAAGTAGGAGAGCACACAAGGCTCTACTGTCTTCTCCCTTGTCCCTGCAAAGGAACCAGAGCCAGCACTGGAAGAACTCAGAGTTACCCACGAACTGGCAAGTGCTAAGTGCAATCCGATTTTCCCAGGGGTCTCTGACGTGATGGAATCTAACCACTTGTTTATCCCCTCTCATTTATTCTCAACAGGGAACAAGGAGCCTGTGCATACCTAAGTTGGATCCTTTCTTCTGCAGAGGCCCTGGTGGCTCCCACCTCAAACAGCCCTTTCCTACTACCCTCCCCCATCAGCTCTGGTCCTATTCTGCTCACTGGCCTTCTTGACTTATTTCCCATGTGCCAGATGGACGCAGCCTGCTGACCTGTCTACCCCCTCCCTGTGGATGCATGGCCTCCTCTGCTCAAAGTCCCCAGACTCCAGGCTGCAGAAATGGCTCAGTGAGCAAAGATGCTGGTCTGATCACCCACAGTGCAAGGAAAGAAGTGGCTCCTGCAAGGTGTCCTCTGCCCTCTACAAATGCACACATGCGCAGAGATGTGCACACACTCACACATATTAAATAAATGTAGTTTTAAAAAGAAAGGTTCACACCTTTAATCCCAGCACTCTGGAGGCAGAGGTGAATTCTATGAGTTGGAGGCTAGCCTGGTCTACACAACAAGTATCAGGACACTCTGTAGAGTGACCCTATCTCAAAAATGTGAAAATAAATATTACTTTTTGTTTTGTTGAGCCACCAGTGGTTAGCCAGGCAGTGGTGAAGCAAACCTTTAATCCCAGCACTCGAGAGGCAGAAGCAGGCGGATCTCTGTGAGTTCGAGGCCAGCCTGGTCCACAGAGCGAGTTCTAGGACAGCCAGGGATACAGAGAAATCCTGTTTCAGGAGAAAAAAAAAGTTACCATTGGGGCTGGAGATGGCTCAGTGGTTAACAGCATTTACTGCTCTTGCAGAGGATTGGGGTTTGGTTCCCAGCAACCACATGGTTTATAACCATCCCTAACTCTGCCTTCTTCTTCATTTTTTTTTTTTCTCTCCAAAGACAGCATTTCTCTGTAGCTTTGGAGCCTGTCCTGGAACTAGCTCTTGTATATCAGGTTGGCTTTGAACCCACAGAGATCCACTCTGCCTCCTGAGTGCTGGGATTAAAGGCCTGTGCCACCAACGCCTGACCTGACCTTGAATTTCTGACCCTCCCAAGTATTGGGCTGACAGGTGTGCAGCACTATGTCCAATTTATGAGGTGACAGGGTTCAAACTCAGGGCCTGGAGTGTAATAGGCAAGCTCTCCTCCAGCCCTTCACACCCAGGCCTTGCAGTACACTAGGCAGGCTCTCCAGTCCAGCGACCGCCAAGGCTCCAGGTGTGAACATGTTCATCACACACTGCCCACTGCTGTACAGATCCAGCACCGCAGTGCCTGACTACGGAAAGCTCCTAACACACATTTGTGGAATAAGTGAATGAGTGAACAAATGATGCTACACTCGATCTCAGCCAAAAGCTGAGAAGTGATGAGCCACTCCAAGCATCAACGTCTACACCTCTGTCTCGGGTCCCAGTAGGACTTCTAGTTGCCGCCCAAATTTTCTTTTACATTTAATTATGATTTATATGGGTATTTTGCCTGCATGTATGTCTGTGCACCACGTGCCTCAGAGGCCAGAAACGACATCTGATCCCCTGGAACTGTACAAAGGTTGTGACACACATGGGTGCTAGGAGTCACACCCTGCTGCTCTGAAGGAGCATCTCTCCAGCTGGACACTCATTTCTTTAAAGCATGCGAGCCGAGTGATGTGGAAGTCAGAGGACAACTTTTGTCAGTCAGTTCTCTCCCCACAAAGTGGGGTCCACTGAGCCATCAAGGGAGCCTCTTAGAACTCCCAAAGTCACGCCCCAAAGAAAACACATGCTCTTCCCAAGCTGCTTCCACTCTGGATTCTGCCTCAGTCTTCTCCAAACAGTCCTGCGCTTGACCTGACTCCCTAGCTCTCCTTCCTGTCTCTTCTGCCTCCAGTCTTTCAGTTCCCACCAAGCGCTCTTATAGAACTGAACATCATTTCCTGGAGAGGGGAGTGAGGGGGGCGTCACCTGATCGTAAGCAGCCCGAGGAATCACTATCCCATAATGAAACCACCAGTCCCTCCCTTTATATCAACTCCCACATGTTGACAGAAGACTTCTGCAGACATTATGTCACCAGGTTTTACAGCCACCCCAGCCTTGGGTGTCTTTATTCTCAATGGGTACATTTGGAGAGATGAAAAACATTTGCCTGAGGTTGGAGTGAGTAAGAGGGAGAGCTAGGATTTGAATCCAGATCCCAAACTAAATAGTAAGCAACCTGGTTCTCACACAGTTTAAAGGACAGGCTCTCGGTTGCATAATTTTCGCCAGGCCTCAGTTTCTTTATCTGTAAAATGGGGATAATGACAGTCTGTAGGTCATGGGGCTTTACGAGGACAGAATGAATCAAGCCATGTGAGGTGTGTAGGCTGCTGACTGGCAAGTTATAATGGTGCATGACATTAGTTCTCATTACCAGTCTCTGGTGAGGGATTTAAGAGATGCTTAAATCTAACACTGGCCAGGAAATGTCACGGATCTATGTCTGTTTAAACTTCTCTATAACCCTCAAAAGGCTTTGTAAGTCAGAACTGCTAAGCAAAGAGGCCACAAATACACTCAGTGTTAGTGACAGTCTGGTGAGCCTGTGCCCACCAAAGTCCTTCACCTAGCGTCCCTCGACTCAGAAGGGAGGAATGTGTGTGAGCTGGGCACAGCGGCTGTGGTGACGGCTGGGGGCTGGAGCTCGGCAGTGCACATAGAAACAACACAGACCGACAAAACTGTCAGAAGCACGACACTCAAGAGTGGGCTGCCTTAGCTGTCAGCCACGACACTCGGATAAGACACATGGCCACCACACAAGTGGCAACGGGCAGGTGCTTAAGAGCATCTAATTCTCTTCTCCCAACAATTTTTTTAAGATTATTTTTATCAGCCAGGCAGCGGGGGTGCACACCTTTAATCACAGCATTCGGAAGGCAGAGGCAGACGGATCTCTGTTAGAGGCCAGTGTGGTCTACAGAATGAGTTCCAGGACAGTCAGGGCTGTTACACAGAGAAACCCTGTCTTGAAAAACAAAATGAGAAAAAAAATTATTTTTCCCGTTTTTAATATGTGTATGGAAGGAAGGTGTGTCCCCAGAGGCCAGCGGTATCAGGTCCTCTGGAGCTGGATTTACAGGCTGTCGTGAATCACCAGTGGGTGCCAAGAACTGAACTCGGTCTTCAGTAGGGCAGTTTGTGTTCTCAGCCATCGCGTCAGCTCTCTAGTGCCTTCCTCAAATTTCCTGTTCCTTTCAAAAACTTTTTTTTTTTTTTTTTTTTTTTTGGTCATTTGAGACAGGGTTTCTCTGTGCAATCCTGGCACTGTTCTGGAACTCACTCTGTAGACCAGGCTGGCCTCAAACTCAAGAGACTGGTCTGCCTCTGTCTCCTGGGTATTAAGATTAAAGACATGAGCCATCATGCCCAGTTTTAGAAACAGACTCTTAGGCCAAACAAACATTACCATGTCTTGATCCCGGTACTTGAGAAGCAGTAGGGAGGGCAGTGTTGGGAGTTTGAGGCCAGCCTGTGCCACACAGTCTTTAAAACGTCACACATGCTCCACACCCTCCCTAAGGAAAAGAAAGAGTCTCCAGACCTGCAGAGCTGTGGTTTGGTTTCAACGAGAACATTATAAAACACACTCAAAGATCAGGTGTGGTGATCTGCTTGGCGGATCGGGACATCATGAGTTTCAGGCTAGGGGAGAGACTGGTGGCCACAGTTAGACTCAGAGAACCAGAACCCACACAGTAGGAGGAGAAAAACAACTCCCACAATTGTCCTCTGACCTCCACAGGCATGATGCCATGGACTTGTGTGCTCATACACGTGCACACAAAAGAAACAGAAATACAAATTTAAAATAAAAAAGCAGTCAGAAAGAATAAATTTAGTCAGTCAGTGGTGATGCATGCCTTTTATCCCAGCTCTCAAGAGGCAGACAGAGGTGGATCTCTGTGAGTTGGAGTCCAGTCTGGTCTACAGAACAAGGTGAAAGAAAGCCGGGTGGTTGTGGCTCACACCTTAATCCCAGCACTCAGGAGGCAGAGGCAGGCAGATCTCTGAATCTGAGGCCAGCTTGGTCTATTGAGTGAGTTCTAGGACAGCCTAGACTCTTTAGAGAGACCCTATATCAAAACCAAAACAAAACAAAAACCGAGCAGTCAAACCAAAAAGCCAGTCAGCTGGCTTGCTTCATTCACTTACTAATTTCATGGTACTAGGGATGAAATCAAGGGTCTCACGTGTTCCAGGCAAGCTGAGCTGCATTCCTAATCCTTTTGCTAGTAGTCCCTGTAATGCTAACTACTTTTTATTTTTGAGACAGATTCAAAGTTGTCCAGGTTGACCCTGAAACTAGTGATCCTCCTGTCTAGACTTCCCAAGCAACTGGGATCCCAGGCCTGAGCCATCAGCTCCTTCAACTTTGCCCTCATTGTAATGAAACTGATTTACGTAGACACCCTTCGTGGTCCTGCGGGCACAAGAAACACAGTAAAGACCGACACTGTCCCAGCTGAGGAAACTGAGGCCCAGAGGTAGAATCAATCTACTCAGGAGCACCCACTGACTCCTGGTCATCTCTGGGCTTGGACTCTTCTTCCTCTGCCGAGGGGGCACTGGTGGGATTTCAACTTGTCCACTTTCCAGGCAAGTTAGTTGAGCAAGCACTTTCTCTACCATGGAAGAGAAAACGACTCAACCTACAGCCAGCTGGCTCGGGAATGAGAGACCTGGGGACACACAGCCCTGGGAGGAGGAGGTGGGAAAGGGCAGCATCACCTGTAGGACCACAGAGATGGTCTTCTCGCCTGCCTTGGCTGCGCGCCACTTCCGGTAAGTGTCGGCCTTGAGAAGGTTTTCTGCACAATGGGTCTGCAGACAAGAGCAGAAACGTGGAGATTCGTTAAATAAGGTTTATTTGAAAAAATAAAATAATTTGCCGGGCGGTGGGGGCGCACACCTTTAGCCCCAACACACTCAGGAGGCAGAGGCAGGAGGATCTCTGTGTGTTCGAAGCCAGCCAGGGCTACACAGAGAAACCCTGTCTCGAAAAACAAAAACAGAAAAAGAGAAATAAACAATAAAAGTAAAATAGTTGTCGAAAAGCTAGCCGACTCTCCACACTTAACCTCCAGCCAGTCTCCCCCACTACTGACACACCTTGCCCGAGTTTTCCTCAGTTTCTCCCGCTAGAAGTTGCCCAGAACCCCGTTTTTCCTTACTTCTCCGGGACTTCCACAGTGGCCCCAAACTTGCCCCTGCCTGCTCATCTCCCCCGGATGCACGTCCAGCCTCCACCCCGCAGCCCCCTCGGAATGCCACCAAGTTCCCCTCCGCACTTGCCAAGTCCTCAGCCTCCCTCAGAAAACCCCCTGTCTTCCCGCCGCTCCCACGTCAGCCCCTCACCGAGTCCTGGCTGCTGCAGGACACGACGTGGCGGAGGCTGATCTCCGGCATGTCCACAGCCGTGGACGTGCTACGGACCACAGAACGAAGAAGGGTTCCTTCCAGCAGGGGGGCCCCGGGAGAAGGTAGAGGGGCGAGCGCGCCCAGCGCGGAACTCAGTGCGCAAGCGCGCGAGGCTCGGGCCTTTCAAACTGCGGCGCGCCGCGGCGCGCGTCGACACTGCGCATGCTCGGATGGACTTCGCCAAAGCGAGGCGCCGGGTCCCCTTAGCAACAAGCTTTTCCTCCGGCCCCGCCTTTCTCTGACCCCACCACTCTCAGGCCTCGCTTCTCGATGACGTAGGGACCCGGCTTTCTGGGAGCCTAGCAACAGGAGCGGCCTCAGTGATTGGGTCTTACGTAGAGCTTGCTCTGCTCATTGGACCGTGTGGTTACCAACCAAACCGAAGCCTTAGAAACGCCGGGGTTTGCTGAGAGTTTCCCAGAGGCTGCATCCTGCTTGCAATATGATCCCTTCCACCTGTTGTTGCGGACACGCTCTGTTTCCCTTCTCGCTCAAAACACAGACAGAAAGACAGACGGACGCGCACACACATAGGCGAGCGCACCGAGACAGACAGATGATAAGACGGAGATCTCAGACCTTTCTTAGCCCTTGGCCTGAGACCAAGAGAGAGGAAGAAAGATCTTAAATAAAACACAAAACATGTTCCCAGCACGCGCGCGCGCGCGCGCGCACACACACACACACACACACACACACAGAGAGAGAGAGAGAGAGAGAGAGATAATAGGTTGCAGAGAGCTCTCAGACCTATGTTAGCTCTTGATCTTACACCAAAAGCGGGAGAACAATCTTAAATACAAATTATGCATCATCTACACGCGCTCGCGCGCACAGGCTAGCATGCTCGCACAAAAGCCTCGCTTTCCCAATGCTCTGTGAGCATTGGTCTCCATCCTCGCCCATCTCTGACAGGCTCTCTTCTGTTCGGTCCCCTCAAGACCCAGGGGCACATCCCTGGGAAGGGTTGGAGCTGGACACAGCTCTAATACAGAAGAGTGAGTGTGAGGGCGGGCTCACCAAAGGGAAAGGAAAAGTTGACAGGGCGTCCGGCCTCCGCAAGACGGGCCTAGACATGCTGGGCGCTCCTAGGTTAGGACCCAACCCACGCTGGGCGCCTCCTTGGGAAAAGAAAAGAGGGGATGCCAGTCTCCGAAGTTGCCCTGCACCCTCAGGGAATCAAGTGACCCAACTCCAACCTTAGGTTAAAAAAAAAAAAAAAGAGGGAGGGGAGGGAAAAAAACATGTAAGATGTAAGTGAGCTTCTGGGTCCAGGTGGAAGAAGACACTGGCAATCTAAAGACCTTAGGTGCTGGTGCAGGAAGGGGTTGGGTCGAAGATGTTCAGTTTTCTTATGGGATGCTGGCTCCATGACTCCAACCTGGAGGCTGTGGAGGACTGCCATGGGTTCTGACCTCAGCTATTTCTCACCCCAGGGTGAAGGTGGGACCAGACCCGCCCTTGCCCCGCTTCCTATAAGGGCAGAGGACCTGGGACTGCCAGGTTCACACACCATGAGGCTGTCTAGAAGACACAGGACCTTCCTGCTGGCTTTTGCACTGCTCTGCACCCTCTTGGGTCTCGGTAAGTGGCGAAGGGACCTGGCCTCCTTCCTGGGGTCTCAGAGGGCACTAGGCAAGGTGAGAGAGAGAGAGAGAGAGAGAGAGAGAGAGAGAGAGAGAGAGAGAGAGAGAGAGAGAGAGAGAGCCTGAAAAATCAGATTCATGAAGGATGGACAGGGAGTAAGGAGAAGAAAGCCTGGGTCTGAGAAGGCTTGATGGGCGTTAGGAAGAGACTCAAAACATTGCATCTGAATTCTGGGAAAATCAGATGAGACCTGGCGATTAGAGAAAATCTTTAAAACGTAACTAATTAGTAAGAACAGACAGAAGTGTTCTTTCTGTCTGGACTTAGAAGAATTCAGGCCTTCAGCATTCCCAAGCCAGCTTCACTGTCCCTGGAACCCAGATGGCTGGGTTCCTCCTCTTTCAGGAATGAAGTCTGGACCTCAGTCTCCCGCTTTGACTTAGGACCCAGACCTCAGAGTCAGGTACCCCTGCCTGAGTTCCCAGACTTCTGTGTTACCTTCAGGGAAGTGAGTTCACACCCTGGGAACCAGCTGGACCTGAAATTTTACAAAAGCCCCATAGAAAACTCTGCCACGACCCCTCCCTGCCTCTGAGAGTGCTCAGAGGACCCTGGCGTCCCAAGTCCCCAAGCCTTGTAATTATTTAGTGAAACAGGCTCTGTGGTGGAGTCACTTCCCGCCCTGGAAGCCACTTGGCTGGCATGGCCACCGCTTCCTCGTCAGACTCCGGACAATTGCCTGGACAGTTCTCAGTGCCCCACCCACGAAAAACCAGGAAGACCCTAGTCCCTCCTCCAAAGTCATCTCTCCTGTGAGCTCCAAAGCCCAAATCATGGTCTGAAGACCATCCCAGCCATGGCCATACACCCTGTTCTTTGCTCTCCTCGCTGCAGGGTGCCCTCTAAGCTGTGAAGTGTGTAAGGGCTCGGGACACACATGCAGCGGGAAAATGAAGACCTGTGATGCCGACAAAGACGCATGCGTGGTTCTTGTGGGCGAGTCCAGCACAAGTAGGAGGGTGTGGCTTCGGCCAAAAGGGTCGGGAGGGATGGGTACCTTCATGGTAGAAGATACTACCCCATCTATGGGGGATGGTTACAAGGAGTTGTGGGAAGAAAGAGGTGGGAGAGATGTGGTGTGTTAGAAAACGCTATGGTCGGAGATTCTGAAACTGAGCGTGTCCTGAACAAGGGAATATGGGAGGATGGAGAGATGAGGCAGCAGTCAAGAGCACCGGCTGCCCATGCAGGGGACCTCTGTTCAATTCCCAGCAAGGTGGCTCACAATGGTCCTATTAACTAAAATTCTAGGGGATCAGACGCCCCTGTCTGGCCCCCACTGGCACTGCATACTTGTAGTGCACTTACATACAGGCAGGCTAAATACACATACACATAAAATAAAACGGGGGGGGGGTAGCTGCTGAGGGAAAAATGAGGGGACACGGGAAACTAGCCGGAAGCAAAGAGTCTTTTTTTTTTAATGTTTTTACTTGTAATTACGTGCATGGGGGAGGCATTATGCAAGTGAGAGCAGTGCTTGGGAGGTGGGAGGTGAAGGTCAAAAGTTCCAGGCAGATGTGAGGTACCGGCGATGTGAGCTGAACTCTGCTGGAAGGGCAGTTGATGCTCTTAACTGGACGGTGGGACAGAAACCTGGAGAGCCAGGAAGGGAGACAGATGGTATTAGGGTTAGGGGAACAGAAACCTGACTGGAAGGGGACTGTAACCCTAAGGAATGGAGTCAATACATCTGGAGAAAGTAGAGATGTCGGGGAGGGGTGGGGAGCAGGAGGATACTTAGGAGTCCAAGACCAACCAGCTGGGCTATAGAACAAGATCCCAACTTTAAAACAAACAAAAACAAGGGGGAAAATAGGTGGAAGGGAGGGAGAGAGAGGAAGTAGAAGGAGGGGAAGAGGGAAGAAAGGGGAGAAAAGAAAGGGGGAGCAGAAAAGGCAAGGAAGAGGACTGGGGAGCGAGAGGAAGGAGTGGGGAGGCTCAGAAGTACAATGGGAGAGGGGACCCGGCCTCAATCAAAAAGAGCACCCCAGACCTCAGAGAGGAAGAAGAGACAGAGAATAGTGGGGTGTGTTCGTCGTTGGTGGAAAGAGAGCCTTAGTTCCAGGAACAAATGAGAGTCATGTCGTTGATCTCTTTTAACATTAAAAAGTGTGTGTTGTGGCACACTCGCATATGTGTTTGTGAGTATGTGCATATGTGTGTATGTGCATGTGTGTGTATGTGTGTATGTGCATATGTGTGTATGTATGTGTATATGTGTATAGGTCAGAGAATAGCTGATGGAGGAATCAATTCTCTTTCTACCACGTGGGTCTCAGAGATCGAACTCAGGACGTGAGACATAGTGGCAGGCACCTTTACCTATTGAGCCATCATCTGTGAGGGCAGGGAAATACCCCTGCAGTTGCAGTGAGAGAGGAGGAAGGTGGCCAGGGAAGAACGTGGGAGGACTGGAGGACTGTAAGCCAGAAGGGAGTGAGAGGAACCAGGTGCAGCAGCCAGGAGACTAGGAAGGGGTACCAAAATGTCTGGAGTAAAGAGGGAAGAGCCGCTGGGCTGGAGAGTTCAGGATTGGGGCTATGTCAGCCATGCCCTGTAACAGGCAGGGACTGAGGGATGCTGGGAGAACCTGGCGGCCAGGACCAGCTTTGTTATGTTGAATAGGCCTTCAGCCATTTGTCGCAGGTTTGAAACTTCACAGAAGGTGGGGAAAGTCCACCTCACACAGGGGTAGCCTCAGGTGGCTCGGGAAGGACTTGTATCCTCAGTGCATGGGTGAAGGAACCCAGTCAGACAAGCAGGGGAGCTACCTACCAGCCTCGGACACCAGGCAGATTGTGAATGTGACCTTTCTGAGCTGCTATAGGGCCAGCGAGACCTCTCAGCAGGTAGAGGGTCTGGTGCGGAGCACTGAATTTGATGCCTCATCCTGCAAGATGGCGGAAAAGAACTGACCGCTGAGAACTCTTAGCACATTCACTGGGGGCACGTGTGCACATACATACACTATATATATATGCATATATATATAGTGTATGTATCTATAGACAAAATTTAATGAAAATTGGTTAGTGTGTATGTATGGTCCATGGTGCTAGTCACAGGGGACAGTCACAGAAGTGAAAACCAGAAGAGGTGGTGACGAGAACACTATGGATTGTCACCATCTGGCTCATCTTCTCCCTTCAAAGATTCCATGGCATAGTTCTCTGTTTCCTTACTTACATTTTTGTTTGTTTGTTTGTTTTTGTTTTTTAAGACAGGGTTTCTCTATGTAACAGCCCTAGCTGTCCTAGAACTCACTCTACAGAGCAGGCTGGCCTCGAACTCACAGAGATCCACTGCCTCTGCCTCCCAAGTGCTGGGATTAAAGGCGTCTGCAGCCACCGCCTGCCCTCCCCGCCTTACATCTTTTGGAACAATTTCATGTCTTCCTTTAGTTCATTCGCCAACCCAGCTGAGCTCAAGTTCAAACGCTCTATCCCTAACTTCATCATGTACTATTTATTTTTGCAACTTAACTACATCACAGCAAATCATTTCTTTCCCTTGAAGATCTTCTATTTCTATCTCTGAGGCTTGCCTGGCTTTGCCAATAACCGTGTGAAAGGCCTAATGGTTCAGTCACATAGAGCTGTGTGCTGTGGTGCAAACCTTAAGACCCTACCAAGAAGCTACAGCCCAAAGGTCCAACAGCGCTGTAACGTGTGTTTGTGTGTGTGTGTGTGTGTGTGCATAGCCACTCTGCCGGCAAGATGTTTAAAAGGAATGTTACAGCCGCATTAGATATCAAGTTGGACACTTCTTCTCTTGCTATGTCTGCTAACGAGCAAGTGTCTGCCAGTAGACCTGCTGCCACCATTCCAACATGTCAATCAACGTGAAAAGGGCATGTTTTGAAGCCTTCTCCACAGGTTTAGAGGACACTAGCTTTCCTACCCCAAAGACAACACTGTCTTTCCATCTACTCCCTACTGTTCCCACAGCCTTCGGGGCATTCTCAACTCAGAAAACTCCTCCACTGGGAGAGAATGGAGAGGCTGGCAGGTCACCCAGTGCCAGAGGAGCGCATGGTGCTAACCAGGGGGCCGAGGAGCACTTCCAGGCCTGAAGTCATACACACACCTTGTAAAAATATACTTATTTTAGATGGGTGTGGTGGTGTAGGCCTTTAATCCCAGGACTCAGGAGACAGAAACAGGTGGATCTCATTGAGTTCTAGGCCATCCTGGTCTACAGAGTTCCAGGGAAGCCAGAGTACATAGTGAGACTCTGTCTCAAAAACATTATTTTATGTGTATGTGTACTTGCATCTACCTGTTTGTATGTGCATGTAAGCGCAGATACCCAAGGAGGCCAGAAGAGGGCAACAGATCCCTGGAACTACAGTTGTAGACTTAGAAGTGGGAACTGGGAACCAACCTTGGGTCCTCTAGAACAGCGCAAGTGCTCCTGACTCAGGAGCCATCTCTCCAGCCCTAGTTTGCGTGTGTGTGAGAGGGGGGGGGGGGGGG